TCCTAAAGGAGAAAATGTTGCCTCTGACAAAAGTATTTTAAATCTAAGGAAATCAAAACAACGTATTTTGTTTATAAGTAATGATTTCATGTTCAATTTAGCAATTAAATATAATAAAAAAATGCGTACTAGAAAATGATTGCTTTCTATTTATTTTATAAGTATAATTAATTATCAAATGTGTTAAATCAATTTGATTATTATTGGAAATTAAAATTTGTTTCCTTGCAACATCTTGATGTCATCGATATGTCAAAACATTATTGTTTATTACGGTTACGCTGTTTCCTTGAAAAACTTCACATATTTTATTGAAATAATTTGTGTTGTGAGTCATGGTGGGAGATTCAGATGCGGAGTCACACGTGCAGCAGGCTCCGCGTGCTCCAAATATTGAACCTGTTTGAAGTTCTTTTTGAATATAAAATATTGCTAAGTATGCACTTTTTTGAATTCACTGTGCTTGATTAATAAAATGATATGATTTTTACTTCTCTTCTCTTAGAATATATTACTAACGTAATGCTATTTATTATTTTAGTATGCATTAGCAATATGGCTCCCAATACTCAAAATGAGGTGCAGTCAAGAAGGAAGAGAAGTTAGTACAATCTTCATGTTTATTGTTCATACTGCGATGAATATAATAAATATTTATAATGATAAATATTTTTAAACTCTTTTTTAGACCTCAATTCTCGCCGAAGTGTTGCAGAGCAACACGATTCGGCCACATTCAATTTCTCGCCATTGGAGAGTCAAATGTGGAATCAATGAAGGTATGTTTACACAATCTTTATTAAATGTGATTTTGTTATGTATTTGAAATGAATTAATTAATAATAGATAAACAAAAAATACCCAAAAACATTATAATTATATCAAATTCTATATATGGGTAAAGGGAGTCCCGCATTTATTTAGTTTATTTGTTATAGATGCTGGCAGCTGCATCAAAATTACACACAGAGGCTGCAATGAAGCAGGCCGAAGCTTCATTGATTTATGTACAGGCAATGAGTAAAATAAGGGATGCATTTTGCTTCTGGCCCAAAATAAATAAAAGTGAATTTACAACTTATATGGTCGTTTTTAATTTGTACACCTACCTACATAAAAGATATTGAAATAAAAAATAATCTTAGGTATAAAAACATTCGATCAATCTTCTGCTAATTCTATATAGCATAAGAAATTCCGTCTCATCTAAAGCCAAAGGATTTTGGAGACATCGCCTGTTTCCGGCTATTTGCCGTCGCCTCACCATTAGGTGTTGATATTCAAGCACTTAAATCTAATGCTTAATATGCTTCAGCCATCACGTTTTAAATATCTTTATGACTGAATTTCCGATATAAATACCTCGAAATTTCGTAAAATATCGAAAGAAATATTATTAGCGATCGCAAAAGTCACATATCGAGCTGTCAAATTTGGTCGCTAAGGAGCTAGCGAAATTCGTTAATTTGACAGTTGAACTCGCTGCGCTACCGACAAAAATCGATAACTTTAAATGTAGAGACTTGCAATATTCGTTAAATTACGATCGCTAAGAGTTAGCGACCGAATTCGGTGACATTGCGTTCGCAAACTGTGTCGAGACTACCGCCCCAGGAAGTCTTATTGGCAAATGACTTCATAAACTTTATATACGATATTTTATAATTTTTTGTATTTATTTAATAAACAATTCTGTATGCCATTTTATACCTGGGGCGGTAGTCTCGACACAGTTTGCGAACGCAATGTCACCGAATTCGGTCGCTAACTCATAGCGATCGTAATTTAACGAATATTGCAAGTCTCTACATTAAAGTTATCGATTTTTGTCGGTAGCGTAGCGAGTTCAACTGTCAAATTAACAATTTCGCTAGCTCCTTAGCGACCAAATTTGACAGCTCGATAAGTGACTTTTGCGATCGCTAATAATATTTTTTTTGATATTTTACGGAATTTCGAGGTATTTATATCGGAAATTTAGTCATAAAGATATTTAAAACGTGATGGCTGAAGCATATTTAACATTAGATTTAACAGTGCTTGAACATCGACACCTAATGGTGAGGCGACGGCAAATAGCCAGAAACAGGCGATGTCTCCAAAATCCTTTGGCTTTAGATGAGACGGAATTTCTTATGCTATATAGAATTAGCAGAAGATTGATCAAATGTTTTTATACCTAAGATAATTTTTTATTTCAATATATTTTATGTAGGTAGATGTACAAATTAAAAACGACCATATAAGTTGTAAATTCACTTTTATTTATTTTGAGCCAGAAGCAATCTGCATCCCCTATTTTACTCATTGCCTGTGCATGAATCAATGAAGTTTCGGCCTGCTTCATTGCAGCCTCTGTCTGCAATTTTGATGCAGCTGCCAGCATCTATAACAAATAAACTAAATAAATGCGGCCTCCCTTTACCCATATATAGAATTTGATATAATCATAATGTTTTGGGTATTTTTTGTTTATCTATTATTAATTAATTGATTTCAAATACATAACAAAATCACATTTAATAAAGATTGTGTAAACATACCTTCATTGATTCCGCATTTGACTCTCCAAGAAAGCGAGAAATTGAGTTTGGCCGAATCGTGTTGCTCTGCAACACTTCGGCGAGAATTGAGATCTAAAAAACAGTATAAAAATATTTATCATTATAAATATTTATTATATTCATCGCAGTATGAACAATAAACATGAAGATTGTACTAACTTCTCTTCCTTCTTGACTGCATCTCATTTTGAGTATTGGGAGCCGTATTGCCAATGCATACTAAAATAATAAATAGCATTACGTTAGTAATATATTCTCAGAGAAGAGAAGTAAAAATCATATCATAACATTAATCAAGCACAGTGAATTCAAAAAAGTGCATACTTAGCAATATTTTATATTCAAAAAGAACTTCAAACAGGTTCAATATTTGGAGCACGCGGAGCCTGCTGCACGTGTGACTCCGCATCTGAATCTCCCACCATGAGTCACAACACAAATTATTTCAATAAATTATATGAAGTTTTTCACGAAACAGCGTAACCGTAATAAACAATAATGTTTTGACATATCGATGACATCAAGATGTTGCAAGGAAACAAATTTTAATTTCCAATAATAATCAAATTGATTTAACACATTTGATAATTAATTATACTTATAAAATAAATAGAAAGCAATCATTTTCTAGTACGCATTTTTTTATTATATTTAATTGCTAAATTGAACATGAAATCATTACTTATAAACAAAATACGTTGTTTTGATTTCCTTAGATTTAAAATACTTTTGTCAGAGGCAACATTTTCTCCTTTAGGAAACTGCACTATGAATACAGATTTTCGATATGTTAGCGTCTGAATAGTTTACGATTTTGCTCGCTAACTCGGTAATAGAGACTTGCATTTGAAGTAACGATCGTTACCGCAAACAATTATTTTCGTTAATATTTGACATTCGATACTTTGCGATCGTATCGCTATTAATGTCGAGACTGCAGCCCCTGGTACTCTGAGATTGGATTCGAACCCACGACCTTTCGCATTCCGGGCTACTGCTCTAGCCACTGAGCTACACAGGACCTAATAGGACTGACGAATTTTTCAAGCACCTTTAACTTTCTCGCAACTACAGAGCGTTTTTTCATCAATTTTCAAGCAAGCAAATAAAGGGATGAAAATGGGAGTGGAAGTTTGTATAGAGAATGAAAACGTTACCATAGTAACGATTGTTTACTATTCAATTTGTCATTGTAATAATATCCGTATCATCGTTTCATGATATGATTCGATATCCAAATAAACAGTTCCCCGGGGACCACGCGGGCGAAGCCGCTGGCGGAAAGCTAGTTTTTAATGTTTTAGTGTAAAGCTAGTTTTTAATACCTATCATATAATTAATAAACCTTCAGAAGACCTCCGCTCGCCTTCAATAGCATTTGCTTAATAAGTCGCTTATGTGATAAGTATTATTTATCACTTTTTTAAAGTTTGAAGTTCTGTTTTTTTTTTAAGTAAGATATATTGAGTTTGCTTGGTGTACCTTCGGTTAATTGCACTGTTGAATAATAAAATAATATGTAACTACCTTATTTACTTTAAAATAATATTGTAATTACTTTAGAATGATTGTATCTAAACTCCACCACTACTGATAAACCCAAAAGGGCTTTTTTGCGCACTTGATGATATAATTTTGTTTGCATGCAAAAATATGTATTTTTTGGACAAGTCAAAAAAATATGATTTATCACTTTTTAAAGTTTGGAGTCGGTTTTATGTTTTTTAAGTTTTATTTTGAAATCGGGAGGTTAATGTAAACAATTATTATTTTGGTATTATTATTTTTAAAGTTATAAAAAGATACTTTATATTTTAATCATAGTGACGGAACGCTCAGTCACATTCACGATACGAATTTGCACTCGAGCTCTCTCGAACAGCGGTTCAAGCGGTCGCTGCATTGGCTTTGTCCTCGCCACTCGGAGATAAGGACCCTCGAGGGGGAACACTGCCGGGTCAGCCACTTCTCTCCCCGACTGGAGTGCGTGTTGACCTACCTAAGTCATGGATGACCTTATCGTTAAATCTATCTTAAAATTGAGATTGTAAAATGTGGTCAATTGTCGAATACTTAAAAAAAAACTTTAAAAACATGAAAATATATAAGTACCTATCAGGCTAGCACTGAAATAACATATTTTGTTTAATAATGATACGACTTCATACTTCAGTGTAAATTTTGAAAATCAGTCAAAAGTATAAATTATTGAAAAAATAAAAGTGAATTGAATAGTAATAAAATAATACTCACTTTTAGGCGATTCACAGGTTCATGAACTTTCTTTTGAATTCGATTTATATTTATTTATATTTCTCTCTTTCTCTATGGAGTTGTGGTGCAAAAACCTATTCTTTTTTTTTTATTTAAACCCAGTTATAAAAGAGAAAGAAAAAGTAAACGAATCCATTAACAATTACCGCGTTTGTCTTACAGATGGAAAGTTTGATAAAAGAAATGCAAGATCCAGAAACAGGAGTACCAGTGCGAAGCCAGAAACTTTTTCTCAGTGTTATTCCATCTGCTTTTATGGGTAAGTAGTAGAATTTATAGCTAAAGTATAATTCTAAACGATCATCATCATCAGCCCTTTTACGTCCCCACTGTAGGAACTCAGGCCTTCCTTATGGATGGTTAATGAGGATGGGTCATGAACCTCCACGCTGACCCAATGCGAATTCGAGGGTATTAACGTCTGCAGCTGGGACCAACGGCTTAATTTGCCTACCGAAGTACGGAGTAACTCCAGATAATAATTGTTTGGTCACCCATCCCGTGACCGATCCTTGCGGAAGTTTTCTAACAACAACGATCGCGGAGTGCGGCGCTTATCCTCTACGCCACCAAGCTACTCAAAAGTGTAATTTTAAATGCTTCAGGTTTTTACTATGATATTTTTAACATGGCGTTGCGAATTTTTAATTTCTTTAGAACGTCGTGTACAAAAGTGTACTACCGCTCTAAGTGTGCAATTAAAACGGCAGAACAAAATCTTGCCTCTGTTTATATTATTGATCGAAGTCTCGCACAAAAAATTCGCTAATTTCTATAGTTTTATGTACATAGTAAGATTATAAATTAATGAGATTTGATAATAACATAATTATATATATTTTTTTTTAAATTTTTAATTAATCTTAATACTTGTGCTTTATCTGCGTGTCGTATTTTAATATAGATGAATTTTAAACTTTTTAAATATTGTTCAATCTACTAATGGTAGTTGGTCATAGCGTACTAAGCAATACTTCACGATTAGTTTTATTTACCGACTAGTTGTTATACCGTGACTTCGCCCTCGTTAATTATAGCCTATGTCAACCGCGTATGATGTGACTTCCCGAAGCTGAAAGAATTATAAGCAGTCCAATCGTTTCTGAACCTATTCGAAAAAACAAGCAAATTATCAAAGCTATCCTCTTTATAATATTAGTATAGATGTCAGAAGAACATAACCCAAAGCGAAAATGAAAGAATGCTAATTACATCGATCACGAATATAATATTTTTGAAACATTTTTGCCTGCACAACTTATCTACCTTTAAACAAGCAATTTTAGTATAGTAGTATGTACAGTCAACTGCACATCAGGCTATACAAAACTGTCAAATTTTCCCACTCAATTTTGGAACTTAATATATTGAGGGTAGACGTCGAAATCCGTTGCAGAGATTTGATATATTGTGGTAACCTGTAGTGTAGCCGTATGTATGTATTTTACTAATAAGGCGAAAGATTGCAAGTTTGGGTCTTTGTTACTTCTTCACGCAAAACTACTGATTTTGATAAAATTTGGTGTACGGACAATTAAAAGCCTGAATTAACATATAGGACATTTTTTCCCGTTAAACAGTTCCCTAGAGCTCACGTGGGCGGAGCCACTGGCGGAAAGCTTGTATATACATAATCTGAATCTCAGAAACGGCTCCAACGATTTTCATGAAATGTACCCAGGAGGTTTCGGGGGCGATAAATTGATAAATTGCTCTAACTTGGTTTCATTTACCAAAAAAAAACGAGCAAAGTTCAGCCACCCAGGTACTTAATGTAACTAAGAATCCAAATACACAAATTTTTATCGTCGTTTGAGAAAAAAATAAAAAATAAATATATATATTCATAAGTGACGCATAAACATTAAACTTTATGATATTTTGTCTCAATGTAGCCTTCGCTAGTCTACAGCTTGAATGTAAAATCGATAGCTAACTTACTTATTTACCCCTTGTATGTCCCCGTCGGACGTTCACCGAGGCAATCTGACCGTATTATTTTATTATTTAGCTTAACTTTGATCTCGTTGCATCTAATATGAGGTTCAACTTGCCATTTGATAAATTGGTTTATTAGATTTTATTGTGTTTTAGCTATCGTGTATTTAGATGTTTGAAATCGGAAATTTTCTTCTTCTACACAACGTCGAAGAATAGATCTTATTACTACAAAGGCGGTTAACAAATTAAAGTAAAATGTATTTGAATTGAGTAGTTGCTGGTCACGTTTTGAACCGCTCGAATGAACCGAATGAAGTTAATTTTAATTTTGTTAATTTTTTGAGATAATAAATATCTCTGTGTTTGGGCGTCTGCTTCTCCTTAATGCAGCCACACAGCTATAGCTAGGCTTAACTAGGCTTCGTTGATCATGTGAGAATGATCTATGATGATTAGTCAAATACAACCAGGTTGACTAGGCTTGACAAGTATATTTATGGTAAAAAACTATATTCACTAAATAAAAATTATATGAAAACAGTTCGTTATGGGTATATTTCTGGTGATGATGATGATGATGATGATAATAAAAACACTCAATTATATTACGTTTCTGGGTTATCGTTAGAAAAACCGATGCAAAATTAGAAAGGAACACTTAAATTATAGCATAGATTCTTAATATGATGTATACCTATTATTTAAAATATTTTAATAATGTAATAATAATTTTAATGATAATCGTGTTGTTGCCGGATTTTTTTTACGAATTTCATCATCATTAATTCAGAACGAGCATGACGTGTTTCTAAAAATTTCAAATAACGAAAAGCAAATAATAAAAAAGAAATGATCTTAAAGATAAGAGACAAAAAGTTTGGATGCGGCAACCTAGGACAAAATATACGGGTGTGGTACGCTGGTACGACCTGAGGGTACGACGCACCGTTTCAATCTTTAGCATTTTACAAAATGTCGTCTGAGGAGAAATGATTGACGATTGACTCATAGACATGATTCTCTTTGATTGCAGGTTATGATCTTGTCGAATGGCTAATGGAACGGTTTAATCTCGATGAGACCAGCAACGGTGAGTGTTTAATAAGTGGCGCCGGCGGCTCGGCGTCGCGACGCAGGATTCCCGTAGAGTCTAGCTATAATGAGAAGTCATACCCCCAGGCGTTGATATGTAGGTAGCGCGGTATATATCTACGCATGTGTGTGCTACTCAGCTCGACACCTTCGAACGGGTAGATCCTTGCTCATGGATCGCGACTATAGCTTAATTTAGAAAAGGTTCGTATGATTACAATATCCAAAAGCAAACTTTCGTATATCTTACGTTTTGCACTACTATAAGCTCTGATTACACTGTTACATTATCTCAACGAAGCCATTTTCGAAATCACCTTACATTTTTAAAACGGTTATTTAATTGATGCACACACTACTAAATAAAACCATGAGCTAAAGGAATCTACCTGAAGTGACAAAAATCGAAATAACAAAAATTAATAACTCTTCAATTGGCTAAACTAAACTGTGCTTTTCGCATATTTGTCGTCTTGCTGTATTATTAGCTTAGTTTTTAGTTCAAAGTGTTGGACATTCAATATTGATGTTTCCTAATTCTCGAGTGATAGAAATGTGTGACAAAACACATTATGCTTATTCTTATTGAATAGTGGTTTAATTAACCGCTCTTGTGAATCTTAAAATATACACCTACCTTAGTCAATATTATCCCTCTATTAACAAAGAACTTTTATTACGAAAAGTGACTTTAATGCTTACAAGCATTAATACTATTATATTTTGTTTGTTTAAGAGTGTAACACGTGTTTTTAGGCAGTTAATTAATTTTATTATTTGTATTAAATCAACTATTTTTGATTTCCAGTTGAAGCAATAAACTTAGCCAATCAACTCTGCCAATATGGCTACTTCTTTCCTGTCAACGATTTGAAAAATCTTGTGTTAAAAGATGACTCTTCACTTTATAGATTTCAAGTGAGTATTAGCGTTATAAAATACTAAAGTAAACCATTGAATATGCAATAGTCGGATTTGTCTACGTTTCATTACCTACGAGAACCTCTGAAAATGAAAAATATGTTTATATAGCGTTATTCCTTTCCTGTCATCGTCAGTCCATTTAAGTCCCCATTACTGAGACACAAACAGGCCTTTATAAATATAATCACAAAGGGAGACCACGCTATAACTCTACAGCGTTTACAAGCGTTCTGCAACAACTAATTCCACTATGACTTGCCTTTGCGAAAATTGAAGACCGACCGCGCTAACCACTACGAACTCCTTCCAATTATTAAAAGATAATACACAATTCTCTTTACTTATTAATGTGAGTCTGTGAGTGAGAGATATGTATTTAAAAAAATTACAGAGTCCATACTACTGGCCTTGGCAAGCGCCACGGGTAGCAGGAAGTGGTTCAAGCGCACCAACGTTGGGTCCAGACAACGTTGAGTACGCAATATACTTAGTCAAGCGGACCTTGCGGAACAAACAACGGCATGGCCTCGAAGAATATGAGCAGGAGGCACTTACCAACCTGAAGAAGAACCTTGCCGCCAAATGGGACTTCATCACCATGCAAGCGGAAGAACAGGTGAGTTGTGATGGATATTTTGTTATTTGGATTTATCACTGTCGCGACACTGTATCACTTTTCTACTTAATATAGAACATCAGCATCACATGTAAATATGAACATATTACTTTTATGAAAATATTATTTGTTAAGTGATATTCAAATAGAACGGGTTTAATGTTTTATTGTTCGGATAACATAATAGTAATAATAGAACCTTGACCGATAGTATTCCATCCCATGCATGACAAGGAATCTTTCAAAAAAATATTCCCACACGCTTTTTTTTTACGTATGCGTTCCTACGTACAGCCAAAAGTAAGATAATTCTCGGTTTCGGTTACCTTCGCCGTCAGTCGAAACGGCCATTATTTGTTCCGTTCGATATCCGGAATCCATCTTGAGTCAAGCATCATCCTTTTTGTGACGTTTCCGGTCAAAAACACTACCTCCCATCTTACTTCCGGCGCTTGTGCTGCCATCTAGTTTGCGGGTAGCGAACCAATGACTTTTAGGCACGAACGCTTACCGTCATTATAGCGTCGTTTTTCGTGGCGAAAACATCGGTCCTACATAAAATGTGCAAAAATTATACTTATTATTATATAGTTTAGTATTAAAATTAAAATGAAATTAATATAAAATTAACCTCCCTTCGCGATGGAGCAACGGGACAGTGAAATAAACAAAGAAAACAGCATTGAAGCAGGCCTGTTCTATTGTCTTCGAGCTCATCGAACAGCGTCGTCGGATTCCAGCTCGGAGAGAGCAAGTAAGGTACAGAGGCGAGAAAAACTGTAAGTGATTTGCATTCGATTTGTTACCCCAACCAGTGACATTTTTTGATAATGCATGATAAAAACTGGAAAACTAAATCCACCTGTGCATTTTTCCATAACAAAATAGCACATAGTATCCATACCAGGACCGCAATTATGGCAACCACAGCCACCATCACGTTCCCTACGACCCCACGGTCCTGAACAGTTCCTACTTGCAGCGGTTACGATTGGTGATAATTTTTTTTATGTACCTACTATAGTAAAACAATCAACACAAGTTCAAATAGGATTTTTTTTTTTCCTTAATAACGTTAAAGACCCAGTATATGGTGAAACCAAATTAGATGAAACATGCTCAAATTAAATTATAAGTTGAGGCGATTTGTTTCTGCTACAACAATTGATGATTTAAGATAAGATCTTTATTTGCAATAATAGAAGTCATTATTGTTAAATTTTATAGAAATGGTACAATCTACAGCATTAACAAATACCTTAACAGAATTAAAGTATGAATCAATTAGTTTAGAACTAGTTTACAATAAATTGCAGATTGATCTATTGCTAAAGACCTTAATGCTTTTTGATAAAATCTAATCAACATTCAACAAGGATTATATTTTCCAAATATTAAGTGGCAGACGCACTGATGTGTTCAGAGCCGTGGAGAAGTTTTCTGAGGTGTCTTTACAGAAATTTTTGCCAAATTCAGAGTTCAAAGTCAAAGTCAAAATAATATTTATTCAAATAGACTTCTCTTTTGAATCGTCCAACATTTTTCCCCACCACTCGTTCAGGACGTCTTTTGGCTGATAGGAAGAACGAACAAGTTCTTCTTTGATAATAGTATATTGCACCCAAAAAACAAGGGGGTGCATAAAATGGTTGCAACTGCAAGTTGATTCAAGGTAGATTACCAGAAGTACACACCAATATTTAAATGGTAATGAAACCAGTTCATTAAACTTTAGAAATAAATACAATGCATGACATGACACATTGGAGGGGGCTATCTAATGCGATCTGTAAGTTTATGGAACAATCAGGATGTTCCAGATTGCATATGTCGGATCTTGGGCGAGTGGCTCACCAGTTCCAAGGTGTCACCATTTCTGAGCTCCCGCATTCCACTCTCAGTCATTTTAATGCAGATAATGAGCTTTTCTATATTGTCTCTGGTCTGGGTGTTGTTACCTTCGTTGTTTCAGATTTCCATAATACAAGTGTTTAACTATATCATTTGGTATCTAAACTATGTAGGTATGTGATGGTATAAAAATTATATTTTTATGCGTGGGATTTTAAGCCATCTTCAAATATCGTTTGCAATGCTCAAATTAATATACTAGAGATTACAAAAACCACCCTGTTTTGTATCATTTCCTCTTCTAATGTTAAAGCCCGACAATTTCATTTAAAACGACACTGATTTGTCAAAATAAAACCTTTTCGACTGATCAATAATTTTCGTATTCCGAACATTCTCATACAAAACGAATGGTTTACGAAAATATATCCGAGCCAAAAGTATTTTCATTTGAGTATCGCCGAACAACATCTGGTTCACAGGTTCTTGAGACTGACATACAACAACCTACCTAATGCAACTGAAGTGTCTCTTTGAACCGCCATCGGTACTCAAAAACTTTGCTGCCTAGACCAACACAACAACTGCGTTACCACAATAGCAGCGCTTAGGGTGGTCTCTCAACTTCGAGCAGTGTGTGCTGGTTCTGAGCTTCCTCGGCGTTGCCTGATGCATCGTGACCAACACGGTCACGAGGTGCCGGGAAGTGCCGGGGAAGTCAGGGGTAAGTCCCTGTCGGAACCGAAGTGCCTTACGCTACGCATGGCACTTCAGCACGAGGCTACTACACGTGGCGGTTAATCCCTCAGACAGGCCCAGTTCCTAATGGGGAGATTCGACTTTGCCTCGTTTGTGATTCGAAGAGGGTGATTACACTGTCGCACACTGCAATACTACCATCGACAGTTGCCCAAAGATCACCATTACCACCGAATCAAACTACCAGACTCAGTATAGAACATTCAGCGAAGTCACTGTTTGAACCGAACGCTTCACGCTACGCATGGCATTTCAGCATCAGATTGTACAAGGCGGTTAGTCCCTCAGACAGGCCCAGTTCCTAATGAGGAGACTCGACTTTGCCTCGTTTGTGATTTGAAGAGAGTGACTACACTGTCGCACACTGCAATACTACCATCGACAGTTGCCCAAAGATCACCATTACCACCGAATCAAACTACCAGACTCAGTACTGAACATTTAGTGAAGTCCCTGTTTGAACCGAACGCTTCACGCTACGCATGGCACTTCAGCATCAGATTGTACAAGATGGTTGGTCCCTCAGACAGGCCCAGTTCCTAATGGGGAGACTCGACTTTGCCTTGTTTGTGATTCGAACAGGGTGATAACACTGTCGCACACTGCAATACTAACACAGCTTAAATTACTACCTATTATTACTACCTATTCGGATTACCAGACCCAGTACTGAATGACTTAAAATGGTAAGTATCTGTTGTACCTTCCAATAAATGCAACGCAAATCGCTCAACATCCGAGGACAGGTGCATAGGAAATCTGTTCGAGTGCTCAACTCGAGGCAATTACTCACGCGAGTCTTCATTTCGCGGAATGCCTAGATGTAAATGCTAAGAGAACTGTACTGATTCCCGTACATAAACAAAGATGGGGGACCAAATCTAGGAAACTATTGTAATTATGACACGAACAAGGCAGATTCAGAAATTATGCATAGCCTGAATACTAAATCTAGCAGCCCAATGTACACCAGATGTGAACTTATTCCATCGACAAAAGCACACGTCATTCCCAGGTTCATGACAATGGATGTGACGGACGAGCAAGCTAATATCATAACGCATGACGTCATCAGTGCAAATGCAAGCTGGCCTTATTCAAACATGATTCCGCAAATACTTTCTCGACTCCAGTAAGTGTCAAGGCAAGTAAGTACATCATGATTGTTCCAAAATGGGACAAAGTGTCTTGGCTGACGATTTGTTTCCGCAAATACTGCAATAGGTATGGCAACAGGTGTTCATCCCCCGAAATTCAGAAAATTCATTTAAAAGTCGGGCAGAATAAAATGAAATAAAGAAAATCTTGAAACTATCGAGTTAATGTAAAGCGACTATAAATATCTACTAGTATTAACTCTGCAAATAACAAGTGCCCGGTAGGGAAATTCTGCTAATGTCGGCGTAATGGTGGAGGGTCAATGGCGCTTTGACTGCAGCCCTTTGTGACACATTCTTGTTACTGGATCATAAAATAATAAATATATCTGTCAATATTGAATTGTTAGGAAGACATTGCACAAGTAATGTTGGACTTCAGGTGTATAGTACATTGGAAATTTTACGTAGAAATTGGCAGAATTGACTCTATTTAAGTTGCTGGAAATTTAGCATACTTTCACAATCTTCAAGGTCGCAGAATCCATTATTTAACCCTTTTAACCTTTGAAGTATAGAGATGAAAATGATTTTTTGTCTTATGGCCCCATTTTGTATTAAAAACAGATAATAGTAATTATGACAGCCAGGACAGAAATGATAAACTGACACAAATCATTCGATTGCATGTATTGGACACGCGATCAATTTTTGTATTGAAAGAGCCCCAAAAAGAAATAATTTTCACGAGTTAACTACTCTGTTCTCAAAAATGCTAAATAGAAGCACATAATGTAGAAGATTCTTCAGGGTCTATTACATCTGCAGTTCCATCTCTAAATTGACTGGAACTGTTTCCGATGGATAAATTACTGAAACTGTAAACTGGCGCCAAGAACATACTTTTAGGAAGTCCTATCGAAAACTGATAAATCGGACAATTAAGAAAATTCCGATATCTATGTATTTACATTTTTATTATTCCATTCAATTCATTAATGATATTGACCGATAACAGATAAGCCAATATTTATTTAGCTTAGATTACCGAAATACTTGAATAATTATTATAATTGCATTGTTATGTAACAGCATAATATATGTACTATGTAGGTAATAGCATAATATACTTATAATATGCATTATTTTTTCTCATCAGACTACATTTGACTTTTTATACCTGCAACACATTATAGCGTCACCAATGGCACTCACCAGGAGATAACAAACACATCACTCAAGATGGATTCCGGATATCGAACGGAACAAATAATAGAGAGTTTTAACTACCAATAAAACTTACCTATTATTTTTCCTAAAGATATCCGGAATCCAGGTAAGTTCTACCTGGTGCATCTAGAGTAGGTATAATGACGGTAAGCGTTCGTGCCTAAAAGTCATTGGTTCGCTACCCGCAAACTAGATGGCAGCACAAGCGCCGGAAGTAAGATGGGAGGTAGTGTTTTTGACCGGAAACGTCACAAAAAGGATGATGCTTGACTCAAGATGGATTCCGGATATCTTTAGGAAAAATAATAGGTAAGTTTTATTGGTAGTTAAAACTCTCTATTTTGATGAGCTACAAGGGCCAAAACGACAAATGTACGATAGAAGAATGTTCTGTTTCATGGTGTACAAAGTAATTTCAATCGTCTTGATAATCAATCAATAAGACGCTTGCTGATATTCCAATAAACTTTACTAAGTTTTATAGTTAGCCGGTTATATCCAGAATTCTTCCCCCCACGTGAGGGTACACAGTAGATTAGATACTTTAACGTCAACGCTCGTGGCAGGTATTATTGGTGGAGAGCCCCGATTTGAGGCATAAGGAGTATTTCCGCTGCTTTAGCAATAAAGGTTTTATAGTTATATTAAAGAAGGTCCTTAATGTTTAATTTTTGATGATCTTTCAAAGGTTCGATTGGCAAAAGATCGTAAAAAAGGTGACAAGATAGTGAGTGACAGTCAGGAGCGAGCGTACTGGCGCGTGGCCCGGCCTCCACCGGGTGTACCCAGCGCACTGGAGCCGTGCCCAGTACCAGTGCGAGTGAGACATCCGAGACCGAAGAAACGGACAATACAACAACTCACTAGGGAGGTGAGTATATTTACATAAATATTAACTACTATGCTTTCTACTCTGCGATTGAGTTCAGTAGTGTGTGTCCAAGACGGAAGGAGACAACTCATAATGTAGTGCACCAGGAAGGTCAGTACCTTTTTTAACCCAATGTAACTAGAGTCAACATTTACTTAATCGTGAACTAGACGACTGTGCAGTTAAAACTGTTCCAACGCTTGCTGATTGGCTTACCTGTCAAAACTTCGTCATCACTGGAAAGGGATTCGGGTTCTCACTAGCAAGGAATTCTTTAGGGAAGGTCAGTACCTACATTAAATAAACATTATTATTGCTTTTGGCTCAAAGGTGAGGTTCAATTGTGTGAAGCCATATAACGATCCCCAAGGAGTTTCGTATGAAGCAGGTAACATTAATGAATTATTTTAGGTGTAAACGTTTACCAGATTTTTTTGATATAAATAGATTTTCAATTTTCATTTTCACATGTTAGGGATGTTATTAATGTGATAACCTGAAACATTAACATGTAGGCTGTAACTTATTAAACGAAGTTGTAAAACTTGACTATATTAATAATCTTGAGAATTTTTTATTGGATATTATTTATTGTCATTCGTCTTATCGAAAGACGAACCAAAAACAATATACAATATTATATAATAAGTTTTAATTTGTAACCAGAGATATCACTGTTCAATTTTGATTCGCACTTATATAAACAAAATCTATTCAATTTTGCGATTTAATAGCATGCCGATGTCTTGTTTTTTTTATTAAAAGAAGCTGATTCCTCTTAACACTTAAACCGACAAAGAAAATGGGCAAAGACAGAGAGTGTGCTATGAGAAAAGCCAGTTCTGATGTGCAAGAAATATACCCCAATACGGAAAAAAATTATAAGAAAAAAATATGTCTTAAACAACTTTAAAAAAAGAAATGAAATACCGCCAAAAACATTATCATGTAAAATGATGCCAAGACGACACCATGTGGTTCATACTATCATAAGGTTTTCTTCTAATTCTACACGCCATAATTTTACAAACCCTAACTTCTGAACTGAAAACTTTTTGATAGTGTGAGCCACATGGTCTCGTCTTGGCAACATTTTACATGATCATGTTTTTGATGAGTTTATTTTTCCCTTAAGTGGTTGCAATAGAAGTTAAAATTTGTGAGAACGTCGTTATTACATTTCAAGTAAGAAACTTGATGTCATTTAAATGTCATTTACATTTAACTTTTTGGTTTGAAACTAAAATTGTTCAAAAATTGGTCAAAATTCTTGATTTAAAAAGCTTATCCAAGGAGTAGATTTTTGCCTATCTATCTTTTTCTTTACTCCGGATCTTTTGGGTGTAGGCAAAGAAGACTGTATAACTAAGCATGGTTTTCAGTAACTTCGTGTCGCAAAAATGAATAGTAGACTTGTTATTTTTATATGAATATATGTTTTAAACGTCATTTATCCAAAAAATCCGATAAGTTATTAAACTGAGCTGTTGTGAAGCGTGGGAGTTGTAGCTATTATAAAAAAAACTAGAAGGCGAAAACAAGATATGATTTTAAATATTTTCACACTAACGGCACCATGTATTTTGCACATTTAACAGTAGGTAGTCGAAATCTCATCATATTTATATAATTTTTATTTTTCCTTACTGCACATTACTAATAAATAAGCTTTTAGAATTGCCAATCTCTGAGATACTTGTAGATCAGCTTTGCTAGTCTGCTTTAAAAAAAGATACTCGACAATAACTCGACTGCAATTACTCAACATAAAGCAAAGCAATGTCACATAATAGAGGTCAATGAAATAAATCCTTTAACATAAAATGCTTAAAAATTCATTTGAGATGAGACTCGAACTCACAGTCAATGATTAGAGCAGTCACCCAGATTACGAAAGGTTGTGGGTTTGAGTTTCGAGTTCGAGTTAACCTGGAGCTCACAGAACACAAAAAGAGTAGAAGTAGCATGCCGGCCATTTCGTATAAAAACTACTGTAACCAAACTCACGCAATGGAAAATTCTATTAGCGTATGCACCTCTTTTTTCTGTTCTGTGGTGGAACTGGTGGATTTTTTAAGCATATGATCAGTGTAGCATTGTGAATTCAAAATTGATCAAATATGTAATAAGAAAAAAAGTCTTAATTGTTTTTAAAATAGGATTTATTTGATTGAGCTTTTATGCTGTGACAGCGCTCTGCTCAAAGTTTGAGGCCAATTTTATTACAGATTAGCACCGCGGTAGACTTAGAATTAGCTAACCTATTTACTTGTAGATGCTTCTACCTGAAGTTACTTCTATCTTCTAGATCGAACATCTAAAAGCGAGCCTGGACCGTACGAGAGTGAAGACTTCAATTGCCCTCGAGGCCTTAGTGGCCTACTCGGAGACCTTCGCTCCCTACGATCCCTGGCTCACTCCACCGCAGCCCTCAAATCCTTGGGTCAGCGACGACACCCTCTTTTGGCAAATTAACAGCCCTCTGTGAGTTTTCTAATACCATAACGATAATTGCATGAAACCTAACCCTTCATCTGTATAACATTGCGAGTTATAGCTTTGAACATAACTTTTATTATAGTTTTTGGCATTTCCAAAAATGTTATTTTTCTATGGTATTCAATTTATGCATCTGCAACCTAATTTTAATCGTATGTTCTAGCTCACATTATGTATTTATATAACTTTTGGGAACATTTGAGCACTTAACTATATTTTTTAATTGCTCTCAAAATAGGTTTTATTTTAAAATTATAGACTTTTTTTTATTATAGAGTGGAGGTGCCAAGTGAAAAGCGTGTGCAACGCTGGGCACTGTCAATAGACGAACTAGTGTCTGATCCCACGGGCCTGCAGGAGTTCACAAGTTTCCTACGCAAGGAGTACTCTCACGAGAACATTCGCTTCTGGCTAGCAGTGATGGATCTGAGACGCAGTAGCACCAAGCAAATACCCAAGAAGTTGGAAGAAATCTATGAGTAAGCTCTGAATTCACTTATCTTACATGTGATTGTATCATTTCGAAAATATATCCCCTCATAATAATAAAACTTCTTAAGACTTTTCATATGGTTATAGTTATATTACAAACACAGCTACACAAACTGTATTAAGATTTGCATTATTAGATTCTTTGTTATAGATTAAGAATTGTTTCTAATTAATGTTAATGCAAAAATTGTAATTCAATGTTGGAATTTGATTAGGAAATTGCTCGACCGCTAACGATTAAAGTAGATCTTGTAAGTAAAAAATGATTATAACAAAGAAAACAAACAAGAAAACGGTTTACCAGTTTTGATATAAGTTTCTGTGAGATCAACATATTGTTAAATTGACTCTTCTATGTTTATAGCTTTTCTGACTGTTATTTGAGATGTATAACATTCAAATAATTATCACTATCATACAAAGACTGCCTGCCATGATATTATTGCAAGAAAAAATTAACCATGTTTTTTGAACCACATACCTACTTTGAGGTTCAAATGAACGTCAATCGTAGGGAGGAATAGAATAGATATTTATTTGCCTTTAAATAGGGTACAATTTGATAGGAATTAATTAAAATAAAATTAGAACTTAAAACCTATTTAGCCATACAAAGATAGCATGCAAATATTAAATTTAATTAATTTTTCATTTCCGGTAAAAACAATCAAATTATTATCAAAATTAATTAAATACAATTTTTATACAAAATTAACAAATTCACTAAAATTACCATAATCATTATCATTTTGAAGATAAAATGTCACAATAATAAATGTCAAGATAAAGAATTTCGTAATTAATAGCGTCAAAACAATAAAAAAGATACAAATCATATAGCAATTAAACTTTGTGTTAACTTATATAGCTTTGGCTTTTAATTTATCTAGTAGCATGGTTTAAAAAATCATCAATAGAATAAAATGCCATTTCCAATAACCATTTACGTAAAGTAGATTTGAATCGGTTAGACGGTAATAGTTTGAAATTATTGGGTATTTTGTTATATATTTTTTGGCACATGGCGTAACTGCTATTCTGAAATCTTTGAGTTTTAGGGACGAATTTCAAAACTAGTCTTTCAGGGTTTCTTCTTAATCTTTGGCTCAAATCCTGTGCTTGTGTAAACTTTTTACTATTTAATTTTACAAATATGCAAACCTCTAAAATATAAAGACAGGGCAGTGTCAAAATTTGGAGAGTTTGAAAGTAAGGCTTGCAAGAAATATCCGGTTTTAGATTGCATATAGCACGAATGCATCTTTTTTGAGCAATAAAAAGAATTTTAGTATCAGTGCCCTTTCCCCAAATTAATAAACCATATCTTAAGATGGATTCTACATATGCGAAATAGGCCATGATAGCCGTATTTACACTTGCTACTTTTGTAAGTTTATATAACGCGAAGGAAAAGGAGTTCACTTTATTGCACACTTTTTCTATATGCTCTTTCCAACTGAATTTAGGATCAACTATTAAGCCTAGAAATTTTACATTTGGAGCACTCTGTAGAGTTTGTCCATTAAAAGAAACGTCTACTGATTGATTTTCAAAATTATTGAAATTAATTAAGTATATTAGTTTTTGCTAAATTTACCTTAAGATTGTTATTCTGAAGCCAATTAATAATTGATGTCATTGTATTTGTGATGTCAAGTTTGTGTTGTTCTAAGGTACTTTTCGTAGAAACAATAATGGAAATATCATCAGCAAATAGTACCGTCTTAAATTTTGTTATGTCAGGTAAATCATTCATGTAGAGCAAAAACAACAAAGGGCCTAGAACACTGCCTTGAGGAACGCCACATTTATTATGTTTTGGTTTAGATCTGTAAAGCTGAATTGTATTTTTTTTTGTCAATCTGTGGTATCTACGAATTGCATTCTGTTAGATAAGTAGGAATCCAACCAGTTTAATGCAGGACCCCTTAATCCATAACATTCCAATTTTTTTAATAGTATTTTATAAAAACACAGTCAAAAGCATTAGACATATCGAGGAATATTACTGTTGTATAGTATTTCATATTTACATTTAACATAACTTCATTTACTAGGTCAAAAGCTGCATGAGTTGTTGATTTATTTTTTTGGAAACCGTATTGGTTGTCCTTGATGATTTTAAATTTTGTGAGGAAATTAGTAAGTTGTTCATGCATGACCTTTTCAAATATTTTAGATATGACAGGTAATATTGCTATTGGTCGATAATTGCGTATGTCATATTCGTCGCCCTTTTTAAACAACGGTTTCACAATTGCCATTTTCAATTTATCGGGAAATTTTCCTGTTTGTAGAGACAGGTTTATCAGAAAAGCTAAAACACTGCATAGTGCATTTCTACACACAAAAAAAAAGAGGTAGACCACATTGATCAAATGTTTCTCCACCACTGTTTGAATTTTATCTTGAATAATTGCTTTCGTTGTTTAATAATTGCAGAGAATTTCTAAAGCCCGGTGCGCCTTGTGAAATAAACATCGACGGCGCAACAGCTGAACGTGTGATGGAAGGTCTGAAGTCTGGTTCACGGTATGCGTTGGACCACGCCGCCGACCACGTCTACGGGCTGCTGCTGAAGAAGGACTGCTACCCGCGCTTCGTGCGCTCCGATCATTTTCAACGGCTACTGACTGAAGGACGAAACGTACATCAAAAGAAGGCCAAGTAAGAAAACTGATTTGATGACTTACCAACTTGACAGTTATAACACAAAATTATGAAATATCTAGGAAATAGTAACTTATAAGGAAAGTGTATTTTATTTTTGCAAAACTAACTTGTAATTTATATTCTGTGGATATGTGGATTACACAAAACGCAGGGCGCCATGACGGAAAGTCATGTGACGTCACATTTCAATAAACTAAATGTCAACGTCTTTGTTTGGAGTAAAACCAGTACTTAAATCTTGAAATTTGACGTCACGGCTCGAAATTAAATTAATTAATAAAATTTTCTTTTCCTTTTACTTTAATAAAACTTGAAAAATAAATCTGATAGTTGTTTAATATAACCATATGAAAACTTTGAAATACTTTTCCCGCAATAGTTTTATCTAGTTACTAGCTGACCCGACAGACTTCGTCCTGTCAAAAAGATTTGTAATGTGGCAGTTTTAAAAAAATTTAAAAAAATTCTCCTGAACAGAACCGTCACCCTGGTGATAGGGCGTTGTGAATAAAAAATAATTAAATAAAACATATATAAGGATTTAAAAGTAAGTAATCGCTTTATTGTTAATCATGTGAATCATAATTATTATTGCAATGTATTAATAGTAATAGTATTAAATATAGAAAAAAGAGATTTTTATGATCATAAAAACACATTACACACAACAGCATTATAAAAGTAAACTATTCGAATTAAAAAAATATATAAACATTCTCAAGGAAAAATGCTGGAAGAATCCATCTACCTGTACCCCGGAATGGGACTCGAACCCATTCGCGATCCAGGGACTGCTCTAACCAATGAGCTATCTAGGACCCAACAGCTTTGCTACTACAGAGCGTATTTTCATCAATGTTCCGGCAATACATGTAATGACGTGGAAACTGATGCATTTTATCTCGCGTGCCGAAACTAATACAAAAGAAACGCGAGTTTCGGAACGCGACATTAAACTCCTCCAACTATGTATTCTGTGCTCCAACGCACACACGCACATTGTTTTGTGATAGATATGATCTTTGACGTTAGGAACACACCTACATTGCTTAGACAACAGTGAGTGCTTGTAATTTAATATGAACTTTATACCATAGCAATAAAGCTCAAATTGACTACGTTTTAGTTACAAATCATTTGTATGGGAAAAAGAAAAGGGCTATTTTTAGGGTTTTTCCAGCAATAATTCTAATTTTTCTCGCCGTAAAAACCATCCTTGAACTTCAACGAACATTTTAAAAAAGATTTGGCCAAATTGGTCGAGGCGTTGTTGAGTTATGCGCTTACCAACACATTTTGCGATTCATTTTTATATATATAGAAGATTATCCAGGGATATTTTTTTATTTATATAATGAGTTTACAATTTGGCACTTTTGCCTCAAAGGATAGCTTAGGAGTAGCCACTAGGTTCTAAGTTCTGAGTATCAATTACAGATGGTATATTTTATGTCGATTCTCACACTTTACTGAAGCCTCTCTTCGTATTCACCGAGATTATCTGCGTTTCAGATTCTTCAACTTTGGTGGGCAAGTGAAGAAGAAGCCAGGTTCGACTAGCGGCAGTGCCGGTCCGGCGCTGCAGCGGCGACGCGGCTCTGATCGCTCGCTGTCGGGCTCCGCGCACGAGCTCGCCGTGTGTGCCGCGCAACCGCCGCGACCGCCCGACCCACCGCCACACAGTCACAGCCAATCTAACCTCGCTGATATACCTTTCCGGTCAGTCGGATGCCATAATGATGCATAAAACTTTACAAACTATCCATGATACCGTAATTCACAGAAAATTTGGAATTTTGTAAAAACGACCCTAATACATAATTATGCTTATTTACAGGGATCCTCTCGACGACGATACGGCTGACGTTCTACCTTGGGAGAGTTCATCCCGGGAAGGCGTTGGCTGTGCGGCGACCCGGCGGCGGCAAGATTCGACCGCCGACTCGGGCAGTTCCTCGTCGGACGTGAGCGCGGCCGTGGCGGTCGCCGAGCGGACGCGGCGTCTGCCGCAGCAGAGCACACTGGACGGTGGCTTGCGAGGTGCCCCGCCTCCGTTGCGCCGTCTGTCGGCCGTGGAACCACGCCACCTCGCGCCCCTCGGCTCCCCTCCGCACTCCCCCCGCCCGCCGCGGCCCGCCCCCGCTCCGCCGCCACCCGTCGCCCCGCCCCACCCGACGCCCACTATCAGCGTCAGCTCCGCGCCCGACGACGAGTCCGCCGACTCGCCGCCCGGCACCGCCTCGCCGGACGAGCCGCGCTCTATAGCGCACTCCGACGAGCCGTCCTCGGTGTTCGCGTCCGCGGACGTGACGCCCACGGAGCCGACGCGGCCCCCGTTCCGGGCGCTCGACGATCGCATCACGTCCGCCGGCGACCGGCTCCCGGAGCTCGGGGACGATGTGAGAACTGACGAATCGCGAGTGCGTGTGACCGTGTTATCGAAAACTGAATCGGAATCTCGCGACGATTCCACCGCATCCGGTGCGATGTCTGACTCTAGAGACTCTGAAAGGACGAGGTCGTCCGAGGACGACGTCGTTTCGGTGCGAGGAACGCTGTCCCGGGAACCGTCAACGATGAAAGAAACCAGTCCGGCCTCAAATAAAAATATTAGTAGCAAAATCGGCGATCTTCCAGAGTGGCCGGTGCGAGGGGCCGGTGCGCCGTCGGAGCCCTCCGTCCGCGCCCACGCGGCGGCGGCGGCGGCTGCGGCGTCGGCGGCGAGTATCGCCGCGCCGGTGCCCCCGCAGCCGTCGGTAGCGCCGCTCGCCGTGTGCGAGGACATCGGGGTGGACGACGACAACGTAGACAAAGTGCCTTCGGCGCCCCTGCAAAGGGTCTCGACAGTTTCCGAGGCGGAGTCCGAGCCGGACGCGACGAAAAAAATTGCTCATAAAGACGAACTGTCGTCGGTCACTGAATCTAATATTGTTAAGCGTGATAATAATAAAAGCGGCATCGGTGAGCGTAAGCAGCGGAACGACATTTGTCCCTGGGAGGACGAGTAAGTACTCGTGAGTTTAGTTTGTGCATATTGTTTTTATAAAAATTATATTATCGATTTCGACTGGTGCGATTCATTTTGTTATTTGTAGTTGAGTAATTTTACGTTGCTGCATAATTTTGTTATTGTATTCGAAAGTTTGGCATGAGAATGTTTTATATTCGATAACACTCTTTTGTTTCTGATGAAACTACAGTAGATAGTTTAATCACAGTTTCACGATCGTTAGAAGTATCACCTCAATTATGTATTTATGGCTTATTCTAAAAAGTAGGTATTAATAAATTATTATATCATCCCTTATTCTAATCTATTGTTACTTTAAAACTTTAATGTAAGTTTGGACACGTATAATCTAATCCAGAAGTGGTATCTACATATGTAATGTTAAATATTCGCTTTTCAGATTTTTATTAGTTTCTTAGTAACAACTCAATATAAATAAAATAATGTAGGTACTGTAACGGGTGGATCGTGTTTTTTATAATGGAAATAATTTTTATAGTAAAAATAGTATTTTTCATTTATTTTGAAATTCTTATACAGAGTGCAAGGAATTTGTACCTTCTTGCACTATTTATATATACCAAATTAGAAAATTTAACTTTATTTAATTGCATTATGACAGTGGCCGTAATATAACTACAATACCAACAGTCATATATGGCTAATTAAATCTAAAATAGAATACATAATTTTATTTAAATAAAATTTTCGATATAATTTTGTTTGCTTACACACGAAACACTTTATTTTTGCAAAATACTTTTATTTGCAATAGGGGTGTAGACAGTAAACAAAGATTAATACTTACATATAATTATTTTTTTCTGTTAGTGTTTAACATGCTATTACCGATAATCACACGTTTATGCTTTTTATATTTATAATATTGATTAAATTAATAATGAAAAAACAAATATTTTATACTCGTTTCCGCAAACAGCGCGTGATGTCACGCCCCTCTTACTCATATAAGAACTTAAAGAATTGAATCTTATGCATAATATAACTATATCAGTTTCAGGGGCCCGTCATCATAAGGTGACAGAAGTTGGCGTTTTCGCGGGAATATTTTTAGATTTTAAACTTATGAAACGAATGATACTTTTTAAATATTTTTATGTTAGAAATATTTCATGTATATCTAAAATAAAAATATGTAAAGAAGTTGTCTACACCCCTATTACAGTAATTTTATTGAAATTAGAGGATGTTATGTAGGTATGTATTTGTGGATTTTGCACTGAATCATGATTTTATTAAAAAAAAAAAAAACAGAAATAATCACCGCACTATAGATAAAGTTAATATAATGTGTAATTTTTTATCTGTGTAAGTTAGCTAATTAGTCACCTAACACATGATTTTAAACTAAATAAAATAAATCATTAGATGGTAATAAAATAACTTTGTTAAGCTTTAAATAAAAAAAATAGGTATGATATAATTTTAATATCTTTATTTTATTTGCTTATTCAATACAATTACACGACGACAGAGCAAGGGAAGTTGTGCAAGCGAAGGTTTAATTTTTTATGAAATCGTAACAGTAAAAAGATGTCAAGAAAACAAGATAAGTAACGTAGAAAACAAGTGTAGTTCTACTACAGCCTACCAAATGCCAGAAAAGAATCCTTGGTTTTGTTTAAAGAAAATTATTTTATTTGTTTTTTAAATATGATTTTCCTAAATGATAATCAACTTCGATTGACTTAATTCGCATCAATTTGTCTTCGGCATTTTTCAAACTAGCTACTTTTTGTAAACGGACAAAAAATACGAAACATAGGCCCAATACGCGTCCGCTTCATAAAGGCTACGAAAAAACCTGAAGTGCGATCGTCCAATTGCTCTGGCAATAGGACACTGCATCTAAAATTATCTTACGTAGTTTCATTAACTGCTTTAACACTGCTGTCAAATTCTTAAGTATCATTCTTTATCATTAATTCGTCTTTATTAAAGTATGCGATAATTAAAATTAACCGAAATATGGCCATAATATCGCTAAGATTTCGTTTTCTATGGAAGAGCTAGCTAATCAAATTAAATTTTATCTATAAATACTGGGAGGAACAAAATGACCGACACAGCCGAAAGTTTCAAGTTAGGTTACATGCAAACGTTCATTTTATTTGACAAATATTTAAAAATAGAGTAGGTGTAAAAATGGAGTAAAAATTTTAAATTTCTAAGTGTTAACAGCCCTATAACGCGCATGCGCAATCTCGATTGTGTGCAGATTACAACGAACCACGAAATACATTAATTTAATTTAATTATTTACCGATATCTTAATGATAGTCGATGCTGAAAATGTCCACTTCCTCTCTGAAGACTGAGCTAAGCACGCTCTTTTCAATGCCAGTGTATGCACGCGCAAACACATCACATTTCACACAAAACTAAACACAATCTTCACTAAACTAAACTTAACACTCAAGACGAACACTCTAGTATCTTATTAACAAAAATTCAATAAAAATGCACTAGAACAAAACAAAAATAGTAAAAAACGCTTCGCTTCGGTGCATCGGCGGCGATGCGCAACAACACTCCAGCGCAAAAGGTCGACGGCGACTGATCGGCTGGAAGATATCGACAGAATAATGAAGCCACCTGGCGGCTGGCGGGCGGGTGGGGCTTTGATATCGAGGGACGTACTCGGTTCACATTTATTTTTCGTCTTTTGATATCACGCATTTTTTTATGTTCTTTTTAAATGCTATTTTAATAACAAATTCCTCAATGATTTTAAGACAAAGTTCATTTGTGTTAATGATGAATCACTGGAAGATTTGTGAGTTTATCGTGTTTAATTAACGATCCCGTTGTTAAAGGAGTATTACCCCATTCAAACAATTTTTTTGGAGAATTGCTCTTTTAAAATAACGTAGGTTATTGTTAGACTGATCTCTCTACAATAATTTAGGAAATTTTACACTCGGTTTCTTAATTGAGAATTTAAAGTTAAACGTCTCAAACTAACATCAATTAGTTTTCGTTTCCGATTTTTAGTTTTTTGATGATCAGTTAATAGCGGTTTGATAAAACTAGGACTATTGGACTTGTGAAATTAAAGAAACTTAGGTTATTGAGAATAAGCAGTAGAAATTTTCTACTTTTTTCAAATCAGAAACCAGCTGTTAGTTTGTAAATCGATTTAAGCATTTTGACTGCCTTTTTTATTGATTGTCTGGTAGAATTTGCATGAAAGCAGTCTTATAAATCACAAACTAGTTTATTTCGTTTTTAGAAATGAAGAAGTCAATGACCGATTTAAAACTTTTTCTTAGTACGTCCCAAAAACAGCTGACTCAGGGTTGAAAACACTCATTATTTTTCAAAAACTTTGTAATTTAATATCTTCCAAACTATTTGACCTAGACTTATATTTTTTTTACATCATATTAAAGACAAATAGTACTCTCCAGAAACCTCGGGAGTGTCGGTCGTTCTGTTCCACCGAGTATAATACGTATTAAAAAAGATCTATTGCATTCTCAAAAATATTACTACTCACAAAAAATATGACCTAATTTCTCATTTATAAAAAACTAGCTGACCCGACAGACTTCGTCCTGTCAAAAAGATTTGTAATGTGGCAGTTTTTTTGCCTACGTATTTAAAAAAATTCTCCTGAACAGAACCGTCACCCTGGTGATAGGGCGTTGTGAACTCCTCCAACTATGTATTCTGTGCCCCAACGCACACACGCACATTGTTTTGATAGATATGATCTTTGACGTTAGGAACACACCTACATTGCTTAGACAACAGTAAGTGCTTGTAATTTAATGTGAACTTTATACCATAGCAATAAAGCTCAAATTGACTACGTTTTAGTTACAAATCATTTGTATGGGAAAAAGAAAAGGGCTATTTTTAGGGTTTTTCCAGCAATAATTCTAGATTTTCTAGATTTGGCCAAATTGGTCGAGGCGTTGTTGAGTTATGCGCTTACCAACACATTTTGCGATTCATTTTTATATATAAAGAAGATTATATAGAGAACAAACATGTTTGACAAATCATTTTTTATCTAAGTTTCTCGTATTTGCTCGATTAAGATCTCAAATCAGCTCGTTTTCTGTAAGTACTTTACTTTATTTTTATGTATTTTATAACTTCGGCGTTGTCTTTGTCGTTTTGTTGTTGTTGTTGTTAAATCTATATGTCTTGATATATCCCTACACACAAGTGACTCTTCCTTTATTTATATATTTGAAAAAATAACGAAATCTTCTCATCGTGTCTAGCCGTTTCAGTGCTATATTTTTTTAAACTTTCTAATTATAGCGCTTTTTAAAATTAGATTTCACATTGTATATTAGATAGATATAGTAAAGAATTTTCAGAAGCTGTGTATCTGCTATTTTCTTTTTTTATATTTCATCTGTTCACAGCGCTACTAGTTTGCTACATACCTATATACTATTATGTGTGACATTTTTTTAAAGATATTATCAAGTACCCTATTAAAGTAGGTGCGGTCAAGGAAGGCAGTATTTCATGTTGCACACAAAATTATTTGAACAATTTACGGAGTATAAGTTGGTTGGTTTTATAAACTGGCAATATAAATTAAAACTAGTAATTAAATTATTCTTTGAAGATCGAACGCAAGCGATAATCCAATCGGACCGCTAACTTTCCTCTATTAAGTCCGTCAGATAATAGAAAAATATTGGAATAGGAAAACCAGTGTACAATGCTAAGGCAATTACCCTATTCTATGGTCTTATACAAAATATTTATCATTCATTTATTTTGTAGTACAAAGTAATGTTTGATATTAGACATGCATTTTATTTTTTTTAAAAGAAAAGACAATGCAAGGAAATATTAAAGATTTATTCAAAGAATATATTTTACAACTGCGGCGCTAGAGGCGCAGTTGATGACAAAAATAGTTTTCTAGACGTACGGGATCACTGTGTCATTGTCTCTTTTTTTTATAAACGTGTAAAAGAGACCACAATAAGACTGTTAAGATCATTCTATTGAGAAATTCGATGCTTCATAAATTTTAACGTTAACTATAAATGATACCATAAACAGTATAATATAATATATAGTAACCAAATAGTTTTCGTTTTAACGAAAACTAAGCAATAGTTTTTAAAGACAAACTTGTACTAGAGATACTGATTAAAGGGGGCTCACTACGTCACAACTATGTAGAAAATGTAAAAGTGAGCCGTCATGCGACATTTCAACTCAATGTGACGCCGTAATTTATCAATTACGCAAAAAGGATTATGAAATTAACATTTTTAAATAATTTACCTAACAGACAAATTTGAATATCATCCCTATTTGAATATTACATGATTAATACAGACGATTTTCAAAATATTTTTCATATTCTAAAGATATAATTCCCTAAAGTTGCAAAACTATGTTATATAAAATGATTTATCATTACATATTTTTGCAGTGTTTAACTTTTTCTTTTATTTCATTTGGGTCCTTTGAAATCATGTCCGTATCCATATCATCGTAGCCTATAATACGCATGAACTTTAAAAAACATTTTTGTGAAACTCGTTTGTTTTCAACCATATCATGTTTTATCAATTCAAAGATTTTGGTGTTCCCCTAGATGTGGCCCTGGGATACCATATAGATATGTTTGACAATATTGTTCTTTGATCGTAATAAATCTTCTCTTTTCCAGGAATTCCTGTGAGAGTGATGCTCCATTTGTTAAAACTTATGCAACGCTGGGTTATTTATAATTTTTGTAGATGATTATCAATAATGTGTTAATACGGGCAGGGTTAAAAAAAAAGAAAATTTAATTTTTTATCTTAGAGTTTTTGTTTAATTAAGTATCACAGAGTTAGGCCATTATTATGTAATTATAATGAATATTTTAAAGTAAATGATCGTTAATTATTAGAAATGTTTGTGTTTCATTTATTGTTATCTGTCATGTTATTCATTTTCAAATACAAATAAGTGAATTTTATTTATATATATCTCAAATCTATAAGAAAATATATATAAATCTATCTTTATGCAGATGTAAAAAGAAACAAGAGATTTATATCTGTGTTTCTTTTTACATCTATACCATATCCTTATGATTATGATTAAGGATACGTAATGAGCAGTGGTCGGAATTAGGTAGAGTTATTCATGTACTTACACTGATTTTATACAGCGAAAAAATAAAGTAGATATGCCTCATATCCCGAGACTAATTTTAAAGAGCAGAAAAAAATCCCGTGATTTTTTAAATAAAAAGTTATTTACTTATACACAATTTAAACTACTGCACGCACAATGTTGCCAAACTTACATCAATGAAAGAAAGAAATAAAGAAATTCCGGAAAGGTCCAACATTTCGATGCAAGTACCTACATAAATAACTCTACCTAATTCCAACCTCTGGTAATGACTAACGTGGATAGGACTATATACTTATACTTAACCAGAACAGCTGTAATAATAAGGATAGCATGTAAAATTATGAATTCAAAAAAGCGCAATCTTCCATATGATTATTATCGAAACATCATCACCCTGCAACGGCTAATACATATATCGTATTAATCGAAAACTTCACGACACACTCCATCGGGGCCCATTTTGTATCCTGGGGGACAGTTAGAAGGAGCAGTTATCATGTTCCTGGACTGAACGGTGGACATCTCCTCCGTGACCTCCTCCAGAGAATTTGAATCACCACCACTGGTCTTATCCACAGCTGCAGATGCCGCGATCTTGGCATCCTCAACTTCATCGGGAAACACGATTCGGTTGTTATCTGCCATTCTCTGTAAACAATAAGCTATATGCATAGTGAATTAAAAATATAAAATGCCTATACTAATATTATAAAAGGGAAAGATTTGATTGTTTGTTTGTATCGAATATGGACTGGAACTACTGGACCGATTTTAAAAATTCTTTCACATACGTATAGCTACAGTATACGGGGTTGACATAGGCTATAGTTTACGCAAGCGAAGTCGCGAGAAAATAGCTAGTATGTTATAAAATGCATAGATAGTCTTAGGATTTCCTGCTTAACTATCGACTTACTCAAAGTAAGAACAAAAGCGATAAGATTACATTAGAATATTTCTTTCTTTTTCCGAGTTCTTATAAACGCCTTAATATTCAACAGACTAATAAAGAAAACGCCTTGAAGTGCTATTTTCTAATAAAATCAACATCGAAATCGATGCCGAGCACACTGCTGTCACTAAATGTTGCGCTGGCTGGTTCAATCAAAGAAAACATACTTCAAATGTAATAGGTAAAGTTTATATGTAACTCGCATCAAATTCGAGGCCGATTTAATTACAGAAGAGTAAAACTGTACCTAAATGATCAAACCTACAATTTCACGTATTGTCTTCAATGAGGAAGTATTTAAAAAATATATATTAGTTCCCGAAATCAAACTAGATGTCGCTACGGTACGGTCTTTTTTTCTCCATGATAACCCTTCCGGTTTTTTTTTTTCATGTTTGAAAGTAAATTAGTTATCAAAACTCAATAAACAACTCATATTCTATTTGTACTTTTTTGTATTTGTATTGATATATAAGTTTCGAACTTTCAAATTTCAGTTTTTTAATATGTTAGTTAAAGGGGAACGGAAATGACCGTCTTTGGTCCATTCGTTTCCTGCAAAAATTTACTTTTGCTAGAGTCGCCATCTAGTGGAGGTGCTTTTTAGTGCTTTCGTTTTTTTTAATACTTATTCATTGTGTTTATGTTTAAACTGAATGATATGAAAAGCCCTGATTTTATTTGCCATACATTAAAATTTAAAAATAAAAAGCTATGAGTCATCCCGTTTTAGCTAAAATCAAAGTCTGTGAAGTTATAAGTCAATCTAACAATTATATATAATAGTTGGTACGTCTACATAGTCAAAATTATTTTTTCTTTTATTTAATGTACGTACAATTACAATCTCGACAAATAGGTCCCAGCAAACACTCATCAATCTTTGTACACTCGGCTGCACGTCGAATTACTACGATATCTCAAATTTCCACAATTGAATTTCGACCCACCATATATTCAATAATTTAAGGTTTAAAATCAAGTGGACAATTTTGACAGTTTAGTATAACCTGGCGTGCTGTTTGACTGTACTATTGGGAATCTCGAGGCCAAACGAACCGATGCCGCTCCACCGAAAAAAGCACGTTCTCGTGACATCCACGAAGGTCACAGACAACGGTTGAATGGTTCTTTTTTAATACCATGAGTTTACTTTTATTTACTTATGAATATCTCTGGAAACTAACCAGAATCCTTGCTTTTATAAGAGGACATTATTATCTACTCCAAATCAAAATTTCAGTGCCTAAATTTTGCTATATAGGTATAACATACTACTTAGGTGAATAACTGGAAAACTACAAGCCATAACATATCATCCATGTTTAATGAAGTTAAATGCACGTAGTAAAATAATGGTTAAAAAACCCATGACATTAACACGTCTTTACCCAAAAATACTTTTAGAAATAAATTAAATTTTAATTTAAAAAAATCCTCATAATTAAACTTTTATTTTTTTTCCTGGTATATACTAAACAAAAAAGTAATTTATTTTCTGTACATGTTATTTTATTTAAGACTTATGATATCATAAAAGGAATACTCACATTTTGTATCGATATCAATTTAAAACTTTAGAATTCTTAGGAACACTGAACGTTTGGCGTTTGTTGCCCGTACAGACAGGCGTACGTTGCTCGGCTTAGAACAAAATGCGTTATTTGATTCTCTTTGCAAATTCTGTGAGGATAGGTACTGCTAACGTCCACTACAACACACCACATTACGATATTAACTAACCCACAGAATATCTCCAGAACTATTCATGTTAGAATACGGATATTTAGATAATTGTTACTTATCATATAATTGTTTAATAAGTATAATAATGAGCAAATAGCAGGACGCAGGATAAAATTGACCTTTGAAATTATATCGGTCATCATTGTAACGATAATTCAAATATCGATAATGTTTATTTACTTATACTCTACAATAGATATAGCACTTTAATACAGAACTACTATTATAAGAACTAAATATATAATAAATTCACTTATACATAAGTGAAATAGAAACTTATTATTTGAAATGTAATAGATTTTTGTAAAGTAATTTGTATTTCTTTTTTTATAATAACAAACTTTTTACTATACCATAAAATAAATCAAATATTGACGGGAATATGTGGTTGTCTATGCAATACATAATTATTTCAAGACGTCAGATTTATAAAAAGACAAACATTAGTTGTTAAAAATTTTCAAAGAGATTTGTGCGTTTCTATTAAGTTTAAAAACAATATTATTTACATTATGGATCACATTCCTCCAATATTCATTCAGCGAATTTGAAATGAGAAAGAGTTCCAGTTTAGAAAAGGCGAGTTAAATTGTGTCTACACTTTACTAAATATCGCCAGTATCATACCATGATGTGTCCTCTGTCCTTCAGAGACACAATGATCGCCGTGATCAATGAAAGATATAAAATTGTGATTCACTGCTCTTTATTAGTTTAATCACAAAATACATTAATTAACAAATGCACGCTTAGCGTCGTCAAAAATGGAGAAGAAAAAAGGCTGTGTTGCCATCATTCAAAAAGGTTTTTTTTGAGATGCCATATAAAACATAGATAATACATAACAATACCCCCCTCACAAGTTTATTCGTTGGGGTGGTTTAATAATTCTACCTGAACGACTTATATTTTCCCTAATGAATTCAGAATTAATATTTGTACTAACTTGAGCCTTTTCAGTATTCTCTTTAATTTCTTTATCATTATTAACATTAGCCTCTGTTTCACAATCTTTATTTATTTGAATTAATTCTGAATTCTGGTTTTGTACATTTTTGCAATCAATATTTTCAGTGTAAATACTATTTTTAGAATTATTTAATAAATTTTCTGAAATATCTTTTCCAATATTAAGTGAATGGTCTTGAACATCTTTACAACTACTATCGTTACAATTTTTGTCTCTATAAACATTACTATTATCAGAAAAGTTTTGAGAACAGCTAACAATTTGATCTAAATGTCTTTTCCAAATTAAATTTTCATTCTCTACTTTACAACTTTTTACAAAATTCTCTATTTGGTCATCCAAACCAGGCCACCAAAAATAAGACCTTGCATTATTTTTCATTTTAACTATTCCTTCATGTGTGGAATGCAGTTCTTTTAATAAACATAACCTTAATTTTTTTGGAATAACTACTCTGTATCCCCACATTATAACATTTTGGTCAATATACAATTCACTTTTCCTTTGAAAAAATGGTTTTAAATTATTATCTCGATTACAATTAGGAAATCCATATCTAATCATATTATAAACAGAACTTAAAACAGGATCTTTTCTAGTTTCTGATCTAACCATATTTAAATCAATTACATTTTGCTGCTCAACAAAATTAATATAATCATAACTTTTTATGTCTTGGTTTTCATTTGGTAAGTTTAATGGTAATCTAGACATACAATCAGCTTTTACATTTGTTGTCCCTTGAACATGTTTAAAAGTGTAATCAAAATTAGCCAGATAAATAGACCATCTTTGTAACCTACCTGCAGCCATTTGTGGTAAGCTTTTATTTTCTCCAAATAAAGCTTGTAAAGGTTTATGATCTGATTCTAATTCAAACTTGGTACCTATCAAATATTGATTAAATTTACTTACAGCCCAATAAATAGCTAATGCTTCTTTATGAATCATAGAATAGCCCTTTTCAGCCTTAGTATAAACTCTAGATATAAAACTTATTGGTCTATCAGATCCATCTTGCATAACATGACTTAATACTGCTCCTATACCGTTTTGTGAAGCATCACATGAAAGTCTTAAAGGTAAATCTCTATTAAAATGTACTAACACCTTATCAGATACAATTTCTTTTTTAATTTTTTCAAAAGCATTATTGCATTCTTTTGTCCAAATAAATTTCTTATTTTTTTGTAATAAATCATAAATAGGCTTTAAAATTTCTGATAAATGTGAAACAAATTTAGAATAATAATTAACCATACCAATCCATGACCTAACCTCAGATACATTAGTTGGTGCTGGTGCTTTAAGAATTGCAACAATTTTAGATTGATCCTTCTTTAAACCATCTTTAGAAATAATATGCCCTAGGTACTTAACCTCGCTTTGAAGAAATAAACACTTTGATTTATTTAATCTAATACCTGCATCTTTGAATCTTCTTAAAACCTCCCTTAAGTTGTTTAAATGTTCTTGATCATTGGCTCCTGTTACCAGGATATCATCGATGAAATTGACCACTCCTTTGGCTCCTAATAAATTTTTTTCCATCTTGGCTTGAAATATGGCACTGGCAGGCTTTGTGCCATAAGGTAAACGCTTCAATTTATAAATGCCCTTTGGTGTTGACCATGCTAATAACTCACCAGAATAATCATCAACCAGTAGATGATTGAAAGCATTCCGTAAATCTAACTTAGTGAACTTCTCACCTCCCTGTAATGCTGTAAAAATGTCTTCAATTCGGGGTAATGGATGATTAATATCTTTCAAATATTTATTTAGTGTTCTTTTATAGTTTGCACATAATCTCAAACCTCCGTTTTCTTTAATAACTGGAACTAATGGTGTGCCCCATTTAGATGTTTCAACTTTTTCTAACACACCTTCTTTTTCTAATTTACTTATTTCCAAATCTACTTTTTCCTTAAAAGCATGTGGTACAGACCTTGGTTTATGAAAAATCGGTTTAGCATCTTCTTTAAGCTCTAACCTTATTTCTTCACCCTTTATAATGCCTAATTCATTTTTAAAAACTTGTGAAAATTCTTGTAAAATATTTTCTAATGTCTGATTTTCTATGTAATTTATATTCATATTAATTTTAAAGTCAAAATTTAATTTTGTTATAAAATCTCTTCCAAATAAACACTTAGACCCTTTCCTTACAACAAATAAATGACCTTTAGCTGTCTTGACCTTATAATTGATAGAAACTGATATTTTTCCTATTGGCTTTACAATCTGTCCACAGTAAGTTTTCAATTCAATATCAGTGTGTATTAAATTAAATTGGGAAAATTTTTGTTTATACACTGTCTCTGGAATACAGGAAATAGCCGCTCCACTGTCTAATTCCATGCATAACAATATGTTGTTCACTTTACATTTTATAAGAAATGGTGAAATAAAATTTACCTGTTTTTGTGCCTTATCCACATTAAAAACATCCATTCCGTTTAAATTTTCTTCCTCGCTGTTAATATCAACAACATTTAAAAGTTTCTTTTTACACACTGCTGCTAAATGACCTGTTTTGGCACATTTTTTGCATTTATATGTCTTATATTTGCACCTTGCAAATGAATGATTACCTTTGCCACAATGAATACACTTTAATTCTTTGTTATTGAAACTTGGATCTTTTGTAGTTTCCAGTTTATCTTTGCTAATTATTTTATGTGAAATCCTATAAATTGTTCCTCTGTCTTTTAACACTGATTCTTTGTTCAGAGCAATTTCAATTAAATTAGTTAGACTTTTGTTAATGTCCTCTTCACATAACCGTTCAAAAATTGGACCTTGTTTCAAACCTGTGACAAATTTGTCTTTGACTCTGTCTTCGATGTCTTTAAAATTGCAATCTGCAGCCATTTCTCTGACCCTTGCATACCATTTCGTTATACACTCCTCATCTTCTTGTTTTAATTTATCAAATTCTGTCCTTTTTCTAAAGTACGAAATTCTTGTTTTATACCGCAATTTGAGTGCTTCTTCTAATTCTTTGTAGGTTTTAGTTTTGGGTAATGCCGGGTGCACAATACTTTTTAGCACTTTATAGGTCTTTTCATCAATCATTGTTAACAATGTGGCTACTTGTTTGCTTTCATCCACTGTATTTGCCGTGAAAAATTGTTCTAACCTTTCAAGGAAGCAATCTATATCCTCACCCTCGGCAAAGGGTTTGAAAGTAAGCTTCGCCATTACGATTTTGAAAAACGACGCGTTGAAAAAAAATTTGCTCTTCTTACCCATTTAATACTCGTCGCCAGAAATGATGTGTCCTCTGTCCTTCAGAGACACAATGATCGCCGTGATCAATGAAAGATATAAAATTGTGATTCACTGCTCTTTATAAGTTTAATCACAAAATACATTAATTAACAAATGCACGCTTAGCGTCGTCAAAAATGGAGAAGAAAAAAGGCTGTGTTGCCATCATTCAAAAAGGTTTTTTTTGAGATGCCATATAAAACATAGATAATACATAACATACCATGAATTCCTTTCTTTCTAATCTTATGAATAAGACTAGAGTAATTTTTCATAATTATAACATTAAAAGTTTTCATAGTCAATCATATTATTAGAAAATTCTCTTTGAACGAATACAGTAGATTTCAAAAATTCCAAGATATTACCATTTCGTCCATTTTTTTGAGATGCATGTACTTGTTACAGATAAATGGCTCAGAATTAGTGTCAAATGCAAGACACACTGTACGAAATTTACCTGAGTAAGTGTGTAATTTTTTTATAGAACCAACGATTTATAGCTAATATTACAAAGATGAAAGATTTGATTGTTTATTTGCATTGAATAAGCTCCAAAACTACTAGACCGATTTTAAAATTTCTTTCACCTACGAGAAGCTACCTAAAAACGTATTTCCGCTTTTAGACTGCTTTTCTTTCAAATGTTTGCATCCAAAAGGACAATGCAAACATTTAGGACTATTAAGAAGATGGTTTATGTAATATTTATATTTTATACGTTTCATTATTATGCAATCATCCTAATAGTGTTAAAATAATATTTTAGGAACGGCTCATTACCAAAAAAGAGGCATAGACGTGCTGCAGATATATTTGAGCATTATTGCATTATCATCAAACCTAAACTACATAAGAGTAGTTCTCTCACAGATCTTTCGGCGCATACAAACGATTTCAGTGAGTGTCCTCAAACTAAGTTCAAAATCTCCACATTCTTCAAAATCGAGCGATTGGTGACTCCTTAATACGAGCTTATGTACCGGTATTATGACTCGTTGAAATCAAAGTATTCATAATCACTTTTGAATCGTTTAATCTCCTTTAATACCTACCGGACCTGATTAGTAACAGAAATGGATGAAGAAACACATCAGCTCAAAACACTAGTAATATTATTTATGTTAACAATTTCATTATGAAATCAATATCCAAATCAACAGAGTTAAAAGAGTACAAAAATAGTTTCCAAATGAAAACTTCATCTCATTTAATCGTTTAACTAACTTTACTCCAGGATCTAGGCAATGACTTTCACTTTTAAGCTTTTATAGTTAATAATATTCAAAACGGCAGAGTCATAATAATAAAAGAATAGATAGAACTAATTGTAGGTACGTTGAATTTTTTGCTCTCATTCTACAAATCGTGACTAAAAAGATTAACATCTAGATAAGATGAAGCAGCTGGAATGTCAATTTAACTGATTTCCTCGTATTTCTTGCTCATTTATTTTAAATTACAGCTTTGGATTTCTATAAACAAACAACCAAACTTTGGTCACATTCACGTCGCATTGATAAGCAAGCTTTAAATGGTAGTTCCGGGGACTCGTCAGTAAGAATTGACACGAAAACACCTACACCGATTGACAAATACATGTCGTGGAATTATAAAGGAAAGTAAGTACACTTGAAATTTATATTCATTTTAAACATCTGCAATTCTCTGACTTCGTTTTTCTATTGCCATGGCAAAGATAAATGATGGTTACTATCATAATTTGATTCAGATAGTCAAAATTAAGAATTTAAACAAAATTTATTCATCACATTGATCGCCTATTAAATTTTCTTATGTTACATTAACGTTAAGTATTATTTATTACAGTAAATCGTTTTGTGATTTTATCATTATAATGTTTAATATCATTTGGATATTAATTTTAATATCGGAAAACAAACTAACAATCTGTTAAATAAATCTTAAGTAATAAGTAGCAAAATTATATTTTTTGAAGACGAGTATCGTCATTGACTTTTGAATATGGTTTCGAGCTTAAGAATTGAGATGTCTTTTGAAGCAATGAAGGCACCTCAACACTCAAGTTAGTGTTGAGGTGCCTTCTATATTTAATTTATAATTTATCTCCGACGTTAGTAGGTTAAAGAAACTTATAATGTATCAATGGTTTACAATAAATTAAGCACACACGGTTGGACGTCAGGTTACCACAAATTTCAAATTTCCTCAATTGATTTTTGACTCTATCTACAATTCATTAAATTTTAAAATCAAGTTGAAAATTTTGACAGTTTTGTATAACCTGTTGACTGTTGTATATGTTATATTTGTGGACTTATTATTTTTCCTATATATGCTCTCGATACCAGCACGCGTAGCATGACAAACTCGAGAAACGCCTTGTCTACGCTCATTTGTCAGTTTCTCGGGTTGAGAGTGAGATATAGTATGGACCACAGAACACGGAAAAGAGGTATGGACGCACCCGAGAAAAGTGACATTTAGGTGTAGCCAAAACGTTCTCGAGTTCATCATGCTACGCGTGCAGAAAGATTTGATCCAAGTTATAAAATAAAAATGCACTTAATTTCGATAAGGAAAGTCAAGAGGAAGCCAGAGATGTCACCTGAGAACACTAATGCTTCAAAATTTGCAACTGAGTACGTTCAAAAGTGTCCCTGCAACAGAAACAACGAAGAAGTGAATCAATCTTCTGGTGTCGAAGATTATAGGTAAAACAAACGAATAACTTAAGCAATTAAACTAAAAACTTTATATATATTTTACATGAATTTTAATTAAATTAATGAGCAAATTCAATGACATCAAAATACAGGATAATAGCAGTAACTACAAATATTAATTTATGGAGCTAGTAGCACCGTAAAACTTTTTATTTATTTTTTGCGAATTTCCAGCGAATGTAGTATAGATTCGAATAATATTCAAAAGGGTGCCACGTTTCCTTTTAAACCTACGCCAAGTGGAAACTTGAAAGTACAGTCAAATCAGGTATTTAAATTTCATTTATTTGCGTTTTCGAACTTTAAAACAAATCAATCATTCTTTTCAATAATTTTTCGTAGGTAGTATTTCAATCATCTACTGTTGGAGTCCTTTTAGCCGATCCCACTCAAGCAAAAGTAAAAGTGAAATTTCCAGTGGCGCCATATGTTAGTAATAGAACAGTTTCATTACATCATCAAGAAGAAAGTAGTATTTTACTAATAACAAATACTGCTTTGTAGGATGTAGCCAGTGAATCTGAGCCCCAATTACAATACGGTCAGAGGGAACCTAATACTAATACACAGAAGAAAAACAACCCCGATAAAAATGTAAAAGAGAAACACGTCAGTGTTAGGGAAGATAAAGGTAAAGACTTGGCTACTCTCGGTTACGCTGCGGTGGAACCAATTGATTGGATGCGTGTACAACTACCCAAGAAATTAGATTTGTTTCAAGAGTTTTACAGGCGTATTCATAATCATATGTAAGGAGCATCAATACACCCGTTCTTTACAGTATATGTTCATAATAGATTTAATTAGGTAATAGCACAGGTGACATTTATTAATATTCACAAGTTTATAAAAAGAAATTATCAACAAAAAATGGTCGAGTTATAAAATCTGTTAAATTTCTCTAGTTGTTTTTAATTCTTAATGGGACGCTTCAAAATAAATTGTAGAAATACACACTGTTAAACCACACTCTGTGTCTTCATAGTACAAGATTATCATCTTCATCATCAGCCCTTTATTTCGACCCCACTGCAGGGGCTCAGGCCTTTCTTTTGGATGGTTAAGGAGCATGGGCCATGACCCTCCACGCTGGCCCAATGCGGATTGGCGGGTATTAACGACTACAAATGTAGCCGGGACCAACGTACTTTAACGACCAACGGATTAACGTACCTTCCGAAGCACGGAGTAGCTCGAGGTAATAATTTTTTGGTCACCCATCCCGTGACCGACCCTTGCGAAAGTTGCTTAACGACAACGATCGCGTGCCGTGGCGCATATCCACTACGCCACCGAGCTACAACAAATAGATTATTTAACACTAAATAATTTTCAGAAATACAGACACAGTGATACATATTGGAAACGAAGAATTTCACTGTCACCGCATCGTACTTCAAGTATATTCTAATTTTTTTGACACTAACCCTCATAGAGAAATTGAGCTTCCAATAGTAAGAATTCAATAATTATTTACCTATATTTATCATTTCAATAATTGAAATGAAATTAAAATATCTTTATTCAAGTAGGCTTATTACAAGCACTTTTAAATCGACCAAAAAAAATGTTTTCCCCTATCACTTTGTTCAGGACGTCTTTTAGCTGACAAGAAGAACAAGGGAAAGAAACTTACCAGCTCTTTATCATAAGTAATGACATTTACATAATTCGTGTCATTACCAAAATAATATGTATTATCACAATAATAAATACACATTTCAAAGTCTGTAGGTCATAAGTTGTACATATAATTAGTCATTATAGAAATAATAATTACAAAACCAAACTAAATATATTCTGAACTAGCTGTGCTCGCAACTTCGTCTGCGTGGGAAAGCATATTAGGTGAATTCTTTCTTTCCTATGGATGAAATCGAATCTAATAGGCTAAACGATCCATAACCCCTACGCAGGCCTAATGCGAATTGGTGTTAACAACTTGTGAGGCAGCCGGTATCAACAGCTTAGAGGAGTTCAAGATAATACTAAAGTTTTTCCATCCAGTGCTAGGTTGCCAGGAAGAAATCGCTGGCTAACAATAAGTTTATATTTTGCACGTAGTTTGTTCATGTCGTTTTCTTGTTGTGATGAGTATTACTTACTATTTACTTAACCGCATCGTTAAGTAAATAGTACGCCATCGGACCTCTTATAATCTATACAATATTATAAAGATCAAGATTTGATTGTTTTTTTGCAGCGATTTGGTTCCGAAACCATAGGACTGATTTTAAAAATTCTTTCAACTAAGGAAAGCTACATCATACTGACATTGGTTATAATTTTAAATCGGTTCAGCCGTTTCTGAACTTAGCGTGCACAAACGCACAGACAAATGGACAAACCGGTTAACGGAAAAATTTGTGTATTTTTTAATTCTTTTTCATTAAGAATATTTTCCAGTCTAACATTGTGAATGCAAAATTAATCAAATATATTAACAAAGTAAATATTTCCTAATTGTCCTATGATCTTATCTCTAAATAATTATTAATAATTTTATTCGATAACTTTTCATATAAAATGTATGTATAATGACACTACGTAAAGTCAACACATTAGCCACATTCACACCGGACGATCCATCTTGATGACACACATCAATGGTCACAGATATATAATATTGGACTTAAGGTGGACAAGACAGAGTACAATGGAAAAACGTAAACAGTTGTAGGATCGGCCTGCTATTCTGTTAACAATAAAATGCAAAATACCAATAAGACGTATCAAATTCCAAGTAGCTTCGCACTTTGGTTCGCGGTAAGCAACGTCCACACCGACTGCTTCTGTGGAGCGCGTTGGATCGTTTCGTATAAATCGTATGCAATAGCTTTTATGTCTGCATAAAAAATTAGCTTAAGTACTTTATTAATACCGATCACCTTTTCTTAAAGAATGAGGTCTCGTATGAAACATTCCAATCCATATACGAATGGATGATCTTCAGTGGACAAGAAAGCAGTAAAATCTTAAGGAGGGACAACATATTAGATTTATTCTGTGCAGCACAATTTCTTTCAATAAAAGGTAAAAATCGTTAAAAAAGACAATAGATAAATGTCACCTATAGATATTAATGGTAATAAATCCAACACAGATTTGGAGAACCAGTGCTGGTCTTTTATAGTCAATGAAAATTTGTTCAATGAAGATACTGCTTTCGTACTGTACAGAGAGGCTAGAATCAAAAGAATGACACCTATTGTTGATCTTATGGTAAGTATATTTATATACGTTCTACATCGTTTAGAACACGGGTTCACAAACTATGTCGAAACTTTGAAAATAAAAAAAAATTAAGCGCCCCCATTTTTAAACCTACTTAAAACCCACTATAACTTCAAATCACATTAATTATTGGGGCTATATTAGCGGAAATTAAAAATACATTCTAAACAAGACTTTTAAACTTGAGCTACCTATTAACGTGGAATTTATTCAATAAAACAGGACAAATATGTATATATAAATTACACTGTGAGAAATATAGGACCGAGTTATTATGAGCAATCTCTTAATTAATATTGTTAGTTGATGTTCACAAATTGTAGTCGAAAGCTCAGTCAGTGTCGAAGAGTCCTTGCAGATGAAATTACAAATCGCCCTACTAAGCCTCTACACAACGCCCCCATTTTTTTCTTCTGGGTATCTTGCCACCCCCTTTAGGCCTGTAACACTCACAAGGGGGCATTATTACCCACTTTGGGAAGGGCTGGTTTCAAAATATCTACTAGTTTAATCTTAACATTGACACCTGTTATATATAGCATAGCTTAACTAGGAAATGCCTATTCTTAAAAATCGTCTATGCAGAGAGCAGAGTCTAAGTTTTTAACCCTTGACTCATTTGTGATCTGTCTTATTATGCAACTAGGCATTTGCATATTAATCCAAAGCGCTGCATTCCGCATGTCATAACTTTAAACATTGTTTAATATCGGGTGGTTCCTAGTCAATTAAATGTCACTTTATGCTATTCCTGAATATGTAGGTGACTCCTAGTTTAGTGATTGTATAGAATAGGTTTGAATTTACATGAGTCATACTCTTATTTCAGGTTCCTCGAGTGATGCGTTTTTTTCTACCACTAGTGGCATCTAAAGATTTCCTTGAACTAGAACCAGAAGAAATTTTAACTTTTCTGAAATCAAATTATATTTGTGTCACGAGGTGTGTATTTTATTAGGTTTTGTAATAATACTTTATAATACTTTAGAAATATTGTGACTGCTCATGATTACATCAATATATCATAGGCGTAACTTGTTACTATATATTTTGGCTTTGTGTTTAGGTACGTTAAATGTTTTTCGGTTTCTCACTTTTAGCGAGGTAGAAGTCCTCATGGCCGGTGTCCGATGGTTGTGTGCGGACTGGTCAAACCGACGGCAACTCGCCGTTGACGTGATGCGGTGCGTACGCTTCGGTCTGATATCGCCATGGCAACTCGTGGATATCAAACGGAACCCTGACAATGGTGAAATATTAGAGATCGTTAATGAACCTGAGGTGCAGCAAATGGTAGACGATGGACTCGCGTGAGTTTTATTTTTATTATTTATTTATTACATTTGATAATTTATTCAATATGATTTAAATGAATTTCATTTTGAATATAAAGAATCAAAATCATTAAATACCACTGAGTACTTGCAAACAGAATTTAATTAACTCAAATATCAAATCAAAATATATTTAATATCACGTTGTAAGGTCCTCTGGAACTTGGAGCAGTTAATGGTCATAAAGTTGAATATATATTTATGTTTTGCAGCTATGTCATAATAAAATATTGGTATGGAAACAACTCAAAGAACTACTACCATTGGATAGAGGTACTTGGACTCACAGAGCCCGCTGAGAGAAACTGGATTGGCGAAGAAAAGGTGCAGCTCACTCTTAATTTTATGATACATCTTAATGCAAAATTATTTTTGAGAAACTTAAGTCTTAACTGCGTTTCTTTCAATTCTTTTGTTTTTATATATTTTAATGATGTCACAGAATCACGTAACGTACAAAGATTTCCTGAAATATCTAGAACAATTCATGGTACCCAAGGAGCAGATATATCATCAGATGTCGATGATGCAGCCACCTCGGAGAAACGATGATATTCCTGGTAAATACTTTATCCTTTCTATTTTGTGAACATAAAGTTCAATTGTCAAATATTTATGATTTGTTGTATATATTGGATGTCTTGCAGAATTTTTGTCACTGCAATTTGGTGATAATATTTATTTATGTTAATGGGAATTTTAAAGCAAATTAACTAAATAAGCACGAAGAAAAATGATAGATATAATGCTTGTTATTAGAATTTAATATGTCAATAAAGATTAAAGTCACCGAGTGGCTTACACGCCAATTTCAAATTATTGAGTCAATGTGCAAAATCGACTTGTTGCCCCTCTTTGTTTCCACATTTCCATAAAATAAGTGCTTTTGTTTGGTATCTGCGCAATGTATGTGATGTTGTTCAATATCATATTATATTAATGATCATCTAATTACATGATATAAGTCTGGCGATTGAACACTAACGTCATTTATTGACAATGAAAACGAATGGAATTCTAAAATTTCCACCTAATTAATTAAGCGCCTTAAATACGAAAACCACAACTGTTGCACTACTGAATTTCTACAGGTAATAATAGCATTGCAGATCTTGCAATAAACGAAGCCCAAGGTAAACGAACAATGTCTTTAAAGCAACAGGAAATATTGACAAAACAAATAAGACGCGAGACTACTTTTTAACTCTTGATATACAAACTCTATTATAATTACACTGAATGATCACTAACAGGTAGTATACGTGGAATTGACAATGACAAATTGGATATGCGGCGACCAAAAATGGATTTTCCTTTACCACTTGCTTTGAAAGGAATGACTGGGGACAAAGACAAGTTTCCCAATTTTAGCGACTTTTTTGACAACAGGAAAAAAGTTAGTAGAACATTAGATTTCTACTGGATTTTAATAATAATTGTAAGAGATAGCGTAGGACGATAGATTGATAGGTGCAATCTTATATAATAAGAGTCGCCTATATGTACTATACTAACGCCTATATGTGAAAACGCACTAAGGATTTCGTTGAAAAAATTACTAAATATTGTACAGCCGGTGACACTGTGCCCACACGTGTGACACTTCTTTGAGAGACTTTTCTCGTAAAACAGTGACAAATTTTGTAACTGCTACTTATGTGTCCAAATATGTTATGTCCTTTTTCACAAGGGTTTCATGTTAATGTCCTTGCAACTAAATAATGTCTCGTTTTATGAAATTTATTCTTTTAGCTACGTCCCAATAAAAATAACATTACTATAGAAAAATAATAGTCTTTTTATTCTTTCATTAAAATTTTATCAAATTTTTTTAAATGTCCAGAATCAGGATGATGTACAATCACCGTCATATCGCTCACCACCTGCGAACGTAGACTATCAGCAAAAATCTCCTAAAAGAAGTTCTGATTTTGATAAACGGACATTTGAAGTGAGTAGAAAGTTTTTTTATTACAATTTAATCAAGATTGAATAGATTCCTTCTGGGCAAGCTCGTTTCACCTTAGATCTCATGCATGTCCTTGGGCTAGACTGAGGTCCAGAGTAAGCCCATTATAAAAAATATATATTTACACCACATCTCGAATGACGTCTGTATATATTGACGAAAAGTAGTTTACTTACTTACTCTTTTTTTATATCAGACAACATATTTTCCACGACTTACATAGTTAATGTTTGCCTTATTTTATTTTTTCGAAAGTTGAACGCAATATTCACCACCTGCAGCTTTACCGCGTAACTGAAGCTTGTGTTATGATTAGTCTTTCCAATCCTGATTGATCTGCTGATCAATCAGGTCTCTTTTTTGACAATAAACCTAGGTTTCAGTTACGAGGCTGGCAGATGAGTATTTATCTTTTTTTTTTTTATTTTACGACCATTTTTGTTTTTTTAGGGACACTGCAAGATTAAAGTCGATTCACAAAAGCAACCGTATCCTCCTTCTAACGTAACGAATAACGTTCAGCAGATTCATATGTGCTCAGTGCATCACGGACATGTATTTATATATTTTCTTTTGCATTCAATAACATAAGAATTTACTAGTGTAATTGTCTATTGCACAAACGTCCATCAAAATATCATTAGTTATACATTGATTGGAGCTCAAAGTGGTGATTAAACCGATAACATCTTAATGCAATTGAGTTTTTCTGCGATGCGGAAGTTAAGTACCTTTCGCAATGGCTGGTCGTAGGATCGGTGACCAAAAATGTATTACCTCGAACTTCTCCGTTCTTCGCAAAGCACGTTAAGCCGTTGGTCCCGGCTGCACATGCAGTTGTCAACTAACACTGATAGAGACTTGGCCGTGTAGTGGGCCATAGTTTATTCTGCCAAGTCGATTCAATTTCATTCATACAGAAGGTCTATGCCCTACCAAGATAGAGATTAATAAATTTTTGATAATGAATTATTTTGTTATGGATTATTTTAATACGTTCAATATTTCGTAGAGACAAATGTTCGATCCTCCTGAAAAGGATTCACTCGATGATCTGGGCACTACCAACAGTGAAACCACCGCTTGTACTGCTGATAGCTTATTGGAACAGGTATAAACCGTAATATCGCGTTTTTCTTATTTCTATAATAAAGGAATAACCCTTTACAAAACTTCTCAGTTCTAGCTTATCTTAAAATAAAAAACCTATTATCTGGGTCTGGTGAAAAATTTTTCAGATCTTTTGTAAAGCCAAGTTTATTACTCTACATGCTCTAAGTCCACAATCCTTAACTTTGCAAATTCTACGCCTTTACAAAGGTGGTTTGGCCGTTTAGGTACCGTCACATAAGCACTGTTAATTGGTCCTATGTTATAAGTACAATACTAGTTCTAACGATGAAGCGCCACTATCGACGATCACTTTCTTGGCTCATCGTCTTGGTGGCCACTTCCGTGGCCCTAGACTGACGTACGCAATTTCACAGATCTACAAACAGCGTCTAAAAAGATAGAATTGAAAAAGAACCAAAATAAATGTATAGCACAACCTATTTTTAAAACTCCATATTCAGCGCCTTTGACAATATCCTATTTTAGACAACCTTTAGCAAAATGTCAATGCTAATTTGAGCTTTGCATAAACTAGTAGTAAATTAATAATGTGAAAAATATGAGATTCATAAATTTAAATGTGAATAGCAATTATATGATTGCAGAATACATCGTCAGATCAATATTGCATGATCAAGACAAATGATAAAAGACACAGCGTCGCAGCTTCGTACTTGGCTGCTGCAACCGCCGTGTTATCCAGTACCAAGAAGTATCTACATATTTTTAAATTTAGAAATAGTATTGCTAAAGAAACAAATCATTAGATACCCTGTTCCACGTTCTATGATCCAATAATACTAGCCGTTCGTTTCGAGTTGGTCATTCCCACCTCTACTTTACCATACTGCACAGGCAAACTTAATGCGGTTAGCGATGCATCATGTACGAATGTCCGTTCTATATATGGCCATGGCTATGACTTCTATGTTTTTTATGAATTGTAGTTTTCATTTGGTAATAAGTTTAATAACTGTTATTGAATGTATATTGTGCTTTTTAATAATATTCCTCTTAACATTTAAGAATCTTCCATTTAATAGCTTTAAAAAAATACTATTTATATGGTTGGGTGATAATGCTTTTATAGTGTTATTGAATATTTAAATCATAACAATAAGTAACGAATGCTTGCGCTGAGAATTGTGAAATGTCATAAAATGTATTATGTATTTTACATTTTGATTCGAAAAATTGTATCTGTAATTCACATTTTTCTTGCCAGGACGTCTCCTAATGGTCAACGTGTAATGTCTGATCCTGTTCCACGTGCTGACGGCGAAACATGTATTGGCGCACCTCAGCCAACCACTCAGACGAACTTCCCCAGTCCGCAAATTTCGTTATTCGACCACTCGAAGGAATCAATCGCCAAAATCAATATGTGAGTAACAATACATATAAGTCGGTCAAAATCTGACGGAAGCTGGGTCGCGTGTATCGTCTGTCGCGCAACCTCAAAACTGACAAACATATGACATGACATTCAACTTTAAACACTCCACGGATAATCTGATGCGCAACGTATGCATACTTCCGATTTATACGCTTGACTTCGAACCCTATCGAACCGTTAAAGACCGTGAACTTGTCCATGTTGCAAAGCCTGCAATGATCCTGCTCTGAAAATATAACTCCACCGCTCAATGCCATCAGTGCTCGAGGTGCGCTGAGTACATAATAGTTATATATCATCCCTTTCTTACTCTTTAATTCTACTTTCTTTCTCACTTTATATTTGTCTTCTCTACTTGTTATTCCTTCCGGGAGCTGCTTCTCCCTTTGTAATGCAACTGGGATGCTTGCAGAGGACACTTACACCAGAAATACGAGTGGTAAAAACGAAAGTTTTTAAAACGATCATATCACAATCAAGATCTTTATCATCAGTCTAATAATGTATTCATTCTACTTTCAAGTCAATGTGTAATACAATCACACCCAAACCGAAAGGTGATTTAGCACGTAGCGTGGACCCAGTGAAAATTAATTGATGCCAACGAATACAGATCCAGCCGGAATTCTTTTATAATGTATAATATTGTATTCCGAAGAATGGATTAACTTAAAATAATAAATTATTGGTCACTCATCCGATGTCAAAGTTGATTGTCAAAGTTTACTCGCGCTGTTAAACGCACCATACGCCTTTACAAATATGGCGTTATGTATTTCCTATCACCACCTGGTTAGTAAAGAGGTTACCTAGAACTCTTCTGTGGACTTTTTTGCCAGATATTTCTATTCGATTGGCCCTTGGAGATATACAATCTAATCAATGCATTAATCTGAAAATCCTTTCGATCGAATTAGTTCTGATATAGATCATTCAATAAGATTATAATTAAATATCTAATGACGTCCGACGTGATAGTAACTTATTTCTAATTAACTTTCACTTCTTCTTTTTCTAGGTCTTCAAATTAAAAATAAAAATAATTTATATTGAAATTTAGTAAAATATAAAAACTTAGAAAAAGGGTTCGGCACCCAAAATAACATAGAGCGTTCGACTGTATAATATTATAATAATGAAATTTAGATCTGTAATGAATTCAGTTTTAATTTACGATTTTGAATCATTCCAAATTACTATCCATATAATTTATTATCAAGTCTACCCATTCTTCGTTTTCCCATTTCAATTGTTAAACTTATAAGGTGTTCCAAAATCTTTAGTTTAGTTTTTTTAGTTTACAAATAACAAAGATTTTCAGGAATAAACTATCTACATCGATTCTCGGGCCATCAAACAAGAACTACATCACGGATGGTTCTCTATTCAACTGGGACAGGGAAACTGTCCTAGTCTTCGGAGGTATTGATCCCCACACACCATACGGTGTGGGCCGTAATACAGGAAAAGATATTTATAGGTAGGAAATGATATTATGATTTATATAAAATTACAGTTTTTAAATAAAAATTAGTAGCAATATTAGGGTGTAGATAACTTTTTTATATTTTTATTTACATGAAAAATATCTAAAATAAATATTTAAAAAAGTATAAAATCTAAAGTAAATTAAATTTATAAACGAGTACAAAATATTTGTTTTTTTTTTCATAATTAATTTAAGCAATGTTATAAACATCATAAGCATAAAAGTGTGATTTATCGGTTATAGTATATTAAATACTACCAGAAAAAAAAGTATTTATTTTTGTTTGCTACCTACACCCGTAACTTCGTTTGTTTGTAGGGGGTAATCTTCGGAAAAACTGATCCGACCATGAAAATTCTTACACCTCAGAAAGGCTCAATCATACGCGGGTGACCTAGGCTATATCTAAGAGGGCGGAGTCGAAAGGAAATAAGTAGTTTCCAATAGCATCATTGTTTAAAAAATATTTATTCAGATTTGACCCAGTTACAAATGTTTGGGAGTGTGTAGGCGACCTTCCTGAGCCGAGACATCATCACTCCGTTGCTTTCTTGCGCGGCAGAGTTTATCTTGTTGGTAAGCGTAAAAAGAGTCTTACGTAAGTAGATAGACAAAAAAATACGAAAGGTTTTTCACTTTTATTGTTCTAAAACTCCCTCATTGCCAAAGCAGGGTTAAATAGCACTACTCACTATAGGGAATAATATTATTCTTTTTAATTTTGTTCTGTGAGTTTCTTACAGAAGTCTGTAGGTATTCTCGTGTGAAATAGTCATGGATAAAGATTAAACTTTTTTCAATTCGCAATCATAATGAAAAATAGGTAGAGTAGGTAAACTGATAAATTTCGCTAAAAACCCTATGAAACTCGGTTTCTATTAATAGGTTATATTGGCCCCTACAATTTACTATTTAGATCGCCTGTAGCAATGACTGTGTATAAAACAATGTATGAATAATTAAAATGGAAAAATAAACTGTGGACCACATAATATAGGTACTGGTTCCAGACCTAGTAATTAATTTTGGAAAGTACTATATTTCACGTAAAATTAGCATCATTATGTAAGCCTATAAAATAGTCTTAACAGTTTAATTACAAAGTAAATTAATATAAAAAGGTGGTGCGGATCCTCGTGACGACGACATAAGAGGGAAGTCGGTGGTGGTATCTACTGTTTGGAGTTACGAGCCAGTAACAAGATCTTGGTTTGTATATAATAATTGTTCAAATAGAACCGCGATATATATTTTTTTAACTTCTACGAATTAACATCGTGAGGATACCTGGCAACCTATTCTTCTCAAACAAACATTCGGAAAATGTCGAGTCGTTCTAATAATATTATTAAAATTATATCCATGAAAATTATCTGTGCATCAGAGGCAGTGTACCTATAAGTATATGAGACAAGTTTTAAATATACATAAAAATATTTTAGGAAACAGCGTATCGATCAATCTCTAAAAACAAGTTATAATTACTTATTTTAGTTAGTTCTTATTTGGGTTGCATTTGCAATGTTGCAAAGATTTGCGCGTCAACTCACACGTCAAAATAAATGAATTTTCTGTAAATTATTAGGTACACGCTAGAAAATACTACACAATGAATATAAAATTTCTCATTTTCAAAATTTTTCATTGAAAGATAATGATTTGTGTACGTACATCTATCTCTTTTCACAGGTATAGTGAGAATGGTTTGACAGTCCCTAGAAAGAACTTTGGTTTGGTTGTGCATCGTATGGCGTTATACGCTATTGGAGGTCAGGATAAAAAGGGCAGGTAATAACACTTATTAAGGTTTTGTATGATTTGGTTGAAAATGTAGACGATGAGTAAAATAAATGATGCCGAGACAAGGATAAGGAACTCCATTCCTTACCTTGTCTCGGCATCATTTATTCTCGTAGAAGGGCCTTTCCAAAGAATCTTTTGCTCGATTGCAAAAGATTCTTTGCTAAGGCCGCTCATCGGATTGAATGACCCATTTTACTAATCAGTTGATATATTTAAAATCACCATTTCAATTCCAATAGTTTAACAAGAATGATAACCCAGAAGTATATTGGAGCGTCGTATTAAATGTCAAAGTCAAATTGACAGTAACAGCTAACTTACAGATTGAGTTGCCCGTAGTGAAATCGACAATAAGTGCTGCCAGTAGTAGTTATTATTTTTACCTGTAACAGAATTGATGACCAAGAAGTCATTTATCCTGAGCTTTCTCATGATTCAAAAATCTTTGCTACATCTGCCACGTGGTGGGTTGCAGTATGTTCTGCCCAAGCGATTCTACTATAGCGATTACGGAAAGCTTGTATACAAATTGGGAACATAAATAAACTAATAATGATCAAGAATCTGTAGTTGCTAGTTTGTAATATAAATATCGATTTGGCATACAAAGCGTCGTGATCCATTGTTTTGATTTTCCCAGGGTGCTTCGGTCAGTAGAGCGTTTCGATCCAAAAACTGGTTCCTGGAACGAAGTCCGGCCGATGAGCGTGGGGCGTATGGCCGTAGCGACGGTCAAGTACCGAGACTACATCTGGGTGGCCGGCGGTATGACCGGAGAGAAGAAACGTCCCGTCTGCAAGATAGTCGAATGTTACAACTCAAAAACCAATGAGTCAGTATGCAATAAATACTTCTTTTTAATTCTCAAACGTCGTCGTCCATTAAGATGGATTGATATGATTGATAACTATTTTAGATCGCAATGGCCCGATTGTCTAATGAAAACAAATTCTCGATATTTAGAGCTTTTAATGGTAGAATATAAGGTACCCCATTTGCCTGAGCTAATTAATGACACGAAAATAATACGGTTTCATCTCCTGGAAATGTTGAGAATGATGGTCCTGCTGATCAGTGTTCATACTATTTATGTATCTTATCGAATACATCGCCTAAAGCGCAAGGTCTATCCAACTGCTGTGTAACTTCAGTAGGATGGATATCTACCACTTGCAAGAAAACATTCGTAAAGTCAACTGCAGGGCGATTCTGTAAATATAGTAAGGAAGAAGACATGAGTGTTTTAAAACGATATTTTATCAGTTCAATTTATTTGACAGCGTTGTATAAATATTAATGATGTAAAGAATGTAGCCTACATTTGCTAATTATTGCAGATGGACTGAAATTCATAGCTTACGTTTTCCAAGATGCTTCGCTACATTGTTCGCGATGAATGACCGTCTGTATATAGTTGGAGGAGCAGGAAAAATGTCAGATAAAGTAAGTTAACTGAAGAAACGATATATTTTAAACATCGTTTTTACTTTTGTTAGCAGGTTAAATAAAAAGAGACTTAAATATGATTAAACACAATGTAATGTAATATAAAAATGCTCTGTTCTGTGGCTATATCAAATTGAGTACTGATACAAATTTATTCAATTTAATTAAAGCCTAGATCGGTGCCGTCGTGGATAAGTGCCGAGGCCCGCGAACTTTTCTGTCAAGCAACTACCCTTGCGAACCACTCCGTAGTTTGGAAGCCACGTTAAGCCGTTAGTCCTGGCTGCATTTGTAGCCGCATTAAGCCAGCGTGGAGGGTTACGGCCCATCCTCCTTAAACATGCATAAAGATGGCCTGAGGGACGTAACAGGACTAATGATGATGAAACGCTATCTAAGATACCAATGAACAAGAAGAGAGGTGCTATAATGTTTTCGTAAAAACGAAAATATATCTCAGCATCTGCCTTTTACGATTTTGAAAATGTCACAATTTACCTAATACAAGATTTGTCTACTTTTTGTCATTAAAATTATTTTACACTCTAACATCATTTTATTAATTTTGTAATTATGTCAGGATAAAACTGCGAGCAGTGTGGGGGCCATAGACATATGGGACTGGAAGGGTCGCGAATGGAAATTAGAAACTGAAATGTCTATACCTCGGCACGGTCACGCTTTGGCTTACCTCGGAACACAACTGATCATAATTGGTTAGTATTCCATATATCATATACTTGGGTGTTATGGTAATTCCTTTATTTGAAATTTTCATAAAAGAGAGCTCTGAGAAGCATATAATATAGTAATATGGCGCCTTCTTCAGGCGAATGTGAACTTCAGAAAAAGTGTGTGTGTGTGTGTATGTGTGTGTATATGCGTGTTTAAAATTTATTATTTTAATAGTTTTTCCACATCATCATAATCAATTTTTAAAAGCCATTCCTTGAGAATTATTTGAGAAGATGGAACACTATCGGTCAGTTTCACAAACGTCCATTAAAGTCATAAGTTTAAAGCGACATTATCCATACAAATTTGACATTCATTAGAACTTAAAAGCGTTATTAAACCTTAGTGGAGTAGCTCGGTGGCGTAGTGGATAAGCGCCGCGGCCCGCGATCGTTGTCGTTAAGCAACTTTTGCAAGGGTCGTTCACGGGATGGGTGACCAAAAAATTATTATCTCGAGCTACTCCGTGCTTCGGAAGGTACGTTAAGCCGTTGGTCCCGGCTGCATTTGCAGTAGTTAATACCCTCCAATCCGCATTAGGCCAGCGTGGAGGGTCATGGCCCATCCTCCTTAACCATCCATAAGGAAGGCCTGAGCCCCTGCAGTGGGGACGTAAAGGGCTGATGGTGATGATGATGGACGCTTGTCCAACTGACTGTATAAATGTTTAAAGGTCTGTTGACTTTATTATAAACTAGCGGCTTCGCCCGCGTGGACCCTGGGGAAATGTTTAGTGGGATAAAAAGTATCCTATTATCTAAGTCAGCTGATACCTTATCTGTATACCAAATTTCATCAAAAGCCGTTCCCTAGTTTCGGCGTGATATACGGACAAACATCCAAACAAAGAAACCTTCACATTTATAATATTAATAGGATAATTGAATTTAAATGTAAATAATGCTTACAACTAAATTAATTCTACACTTTTTAACTTTAAAACGGTCAGCAACTACCACAGTTCGTAGAATTGTGAAGTAAGATACGTAATCGGCTTCATTGCCCATTACCTTCAATAATATCAAATAGATCTTTCGGCCCTCTCCATCTGCAAGGGATGAGTCTTTTTGGGGAACCACATACACCATATATTCTTTTTAAATAACTAAATTCTAAAGTCATATTTTAATGTTGGTCCAAACCAATAGGGAAAATGCCCGATGTGTTTATATTTGATCTAAATATTTAGGTTTTGATTGTGACAGAACCCTAAAAAATATGATGATCTTCATTTTAAATAATAGCTTATTTGGTTTCGCTCATTTAAAACTATTATAAAGAAATATTCACGAATCCCTTCATTTTTTTTCTATAAGATTTATGTAGATGTCATTATAGCATCATGAACGCAAAATTTCGTGTAATAATAACAAATCTTTTGATGGATTGGTTTCACAATTCTACGTGTAGGTATATAACGTCATTACGCAACTAATCCCTTTTTGTAATGATTGTTTTTTTATTAATAATCAATTCATTCATAAGAAATAGGAAAACTAATTCGTTCGTGTTACGTGTTTGTCCACATGAGTAGGTAGATGGTAATATTTACACATTACATGACTAATTGTTTTGGCTACTCAACTGATTATTCTTGGGAAGTCTATGAGTAATTAGATATATTTACTCGGTAATTATTAAGTAAATATTTTTTAAAGTACTTGACATGCAATCGAATTTTACAAACACTTATCATGGATGACCTTTTTTTATCTCGATATTAAAAAGGATTAGTAATTTAAAAATGTTTATCGCTTCATTTATAATTATGCATCGATTTAGGTCAAGTTATTTGCACACAAATTAAATGTAATAGTTACAGTATTGTGTTATACTTTTTCTTGATGTTGTAGACACTTATAAACCACGTTCTGTCAATAATGTGAGAATATGTCAATCTGCAAATAACATGAACATTTGTGCTCTCGATAATTTGTGTAAAATTATAACGTGAGTCCATTATTAAGGTGTTGTGCTAAATAGCTACCGTAATACAAAACATATGACTTGAATTTGATTGTTTTAATAAATCTTACAATGCTAAAATTAAAGATCATATGTACACAAATTCTTTATTTGCATCAAGTGTCATATTTTTTAGACATTTTTATAGTTACAATTAACTATATTCATATATATATAAATATTTCCTTCAGTTTTCCGTTTTGGTTGAGATAATATAAAAGAAATGATTTACTAACTGGTTCAATAAAATTTTATTTGTTTTACCTACTTCACTAACATTTTAATCAAATTCTAACAAAAATATCATGTTCCCACGAGAGTACATTAACTTATTAGTATTGTATCAAGTTTTATTACGAAGGCATTCAAAGATCTAATCTAAATTACTCATATCTGCGAAATCAAGAATATTTATTTTTGCATCAATATGCCAAGTCAACACAAGATTTTGCTATTTTTTTCTAGGAGATTAGACTATACAATACTGACAAACTCCAGATGATTTTTGGCCCTAATCATTAACAATATGTAAAAGTAAAATGACTGCAATGGACTTTTACATGACCGTGCCGAATTTTATTAAATCTTTAACACACATAACTCTTTTCACTCACTAGGTCGTAAATGTTTATGACTTCTGACATTATTATTCAATAACACGTAAATAATATGATCCTGAATGGCAAATTTTGGCCTTTTGCGTCAACTATATCCTTCTGGCTCAAGGTTTTTCTACCAATGACTTTTCCCGACACTGATTTATTGTTTCCTGCACTCATACTTTTTATCTTTCTTTGTTAATGTTGCGCATGCTATACCTCTAAAGGCACTTCCAAGATATAATTTGTTAAACACTTTTACCAAGACTGTTACCATATAAAAAGAAGGACCGCCGGATCCTGAGATTCAGGTTTATTCAGATACAAATGTTACTTAATTTTAAAATTGAGAGTACTTGTTTTTCTATATCAAGATAATTATTATTATCCGCTTACATTAATTTGGTTTAACACTACATAATCAACAATTCTTCTTCTTCTTTTTTTATTAATGGCTTATCTGCTCATTTCGCACAATTCTGCCAATGTCAAATGGATAAATTAATTATTACATTTATAATGAAATGAATGAAAGATAGCGATGATCCAAAAAAGTCATTATTCCATAATCAACAATTATCCTGACATATTTTAATACTACTGTGCCTATGGGAAAGTGCCAAAATTTATCGAGATGTGTTTTATTGCTGCTGTGTTAATTATGTCGTCTATAAAAATTATAAAATATATATTAATTTGACAAATATACATATATCAATAAATATATAATTTAGAGACACAATAATAATATAAAAACACATAAGCTGAACAGACGAGGCAATGTCTCGTTTTTGAGACGTAATAAAGAATATTTAGAATATTAGCCATCTGGCAGTGTATCATATACAATCGAAAATAACGAGTGTTTTCATAACTTTGCTTAGCATTTAACAGCACAAAAATAGGACTCGTTCAAAGACAATATTATTGAATTTTTATTATCTTGCGTTGTGTAGATCCCATCCTCCGGTAAATATAATGTATATATGTAAAAATGGTATCAAATCTTGCAAGCACCAATTACATATTACCGCTTCTTCACGTGCACTTATTTGCAGCAGGTCAGTTGGTGCATGAACATAATTTTGGTGTAGACAAAACTTTCTCGAGTTCGTCATGCTACGCCTGATTAGCACCTGCACTTAAACTAAGTTTTTAATGATCTTTGAATATAAAACATTTTCATTGTAGGTGGTGTGACTACTATATACATGCGAGCGCTCAACAACGTGGAGTCATATTGCTGCGAGCGCAGTGCCTGGATCCGCGGCGTTGCCATTTTACCCTCACCTTTATCAGGCCATGGTGCAGTAACTTTACCACCAGCCTCTCTCATGTAATGCAAGCTCTTTTTTCTAACATTCTAACATTTCCCCTATTGATTTTAAAGCTTAACACATTAACAGTCGAGTTCAGTTTTTTGTAGTAATACGTTATGATTGTTTGTGTATTTTACAATAACCTACCATTATGATATGTGTACAATATTGGTAAGGGTCAGGTCTCACTTATCCATTCATTCCATCCGTTCATTTGCTTTATCCAGATGCTCATAAGATTGTCTACAGTTATGTGTAAAATTCTATGTACCATAATGAATACTTAATCGGTTATTCCGTTTTATCAAATTTTGCACTCTGAGTGAGAGATAAGGTAATCAGCCGTACAAATGATAATTATTCTTCGTATTTAAATTATCTGTTTGTAGTGATTTTTTTATTTATTAAGCATGCGAGTTTATATGTTATGCTGCATGTCTATGCAGCATTAATAGTTGGTAAGTTCCTACAAATTTAAATTTTCCTATAGTTCTAACAACTTGAAAACGTTAAGTGCGTACTAAAGATAGATATTATCATAAAATTATGCTTTTGCTGATATAAAATAGTAATCATGATAACAATTTGTTTTTCTTTTGTATTGGCTTGTCAAAGGGTTGATTAAATCATTAAGTATAGGTAATTAATGTTATTTAAATTGATATAAATTTGTATGTGTGTTATTTATTATGTCTTATATCTTGTAAATCTAATAAACACTTTTTGATATTTTTAATGAGATTATAATTTCTTTGTCCAGATAATTTCTCGAGTATCGTGTGATAAATTAATAATAATTTTCTGCGTGGCATATAAAAAGAAACAATTATCTTATCAATTTATGTAACGGAAAAATTTTATCTTCAAATACAAAACTTACTAGATATACACAAAATCAAAAATCCCAAAGAAATGTCGTTTACAATACCGTGGAAGTTTAATCTGACAACATTTAGTAGATGTAAAAGATTCATCTGAAGAATTTTAGAAATAGTAATCACCATAGATTTATTAAGCTAATTAAATTAATTAAAATTATCTTATGACATTTAACGATTTGCGCAGAGCGAAAACTGTACACTTTTGTTTTTTTTCAGTCTTTG